GTGGCAGATAAGGAGAGCATCAACAAGATGTCTCTCCACAACTTGGCGACAGTTTTCGGGCCAACCTTGCTGAGGCCTTCCGAGAAGGACAGCAAGATCCCCGCAAACCCCACCCAGCCAATCAGCATGGGGGACAGCTGGTCCCTGGAAGTCATGGCGCAGGTTGGTCTCGTTCTGGCATTTCATCTTTGATTTTCAGGGTTCTAACTAAAAGCTCATCCATCTAAAATCTCATATGTTCTGTTTTGTATTCGCTCGCAGGTCCAGGTGTTGCTGTACTTCCTCCAGCTGGAGACGATCCCCACCCCGGACAGTAAAAGACAGAGCATCCTCTTCTCCACTGAAGTATAGAGCTAATATTGACTCTGCCACCCTGATTCTTTGACCATGGAGGAGAGAAACGAGACGGACCGTGGCTCAAAGTGAGCCTATAGTAGGATGTTTTTTAATTGACTGACCAGACTCTTGCAGATGGAAAAGATTGTCTCTGGTGATGCCTGCCCTCCTCAAACACAAGAGGGTGCCATTGGACCTCCGAACCTCTGAGGATGCGAGGGCCTTGGTGTTCATATCTCTCATTACATGATATTTAGTAAGATTCCTTCATTGACTACATTCACCATCTACATTTCTCCACCACGCTCTTTATTGGTCTTTACAGCTTTAACGCAATTGTGGTTCAAAAATCAAGATCAATGTCAGTCCATAAGAGAACAAAACATGTCTTTCCTGATCCTTGAATTAGTTTGCCATCAAATCTGAATTTCCATGTAAGTTTGTGTTTGCGTTGTTCTCTATCTGTGTTTATTTTGGACAATCATCTACTCAAGACTTTTCATTGATCCATCTCAAACATTGCTTCATTTCCTGATGAGGTCAATCCTAACTGTGTCATCTCAGCCCATTGTTTCTGAGAAAGACAAGAGAACACACTTCTAGGAGTTGACAATGAACATCGGCACGATACTGGCTTTCGTTCTTTGGGTGAGGGAGCCAACACCTGTATGGTTTAGTGTTTACAACGTAAACAAACCCAGATGGGAGTCAGAGACAAATGCTACAGCTTGAAGAAGAACAAAAAAAGGAACCTGATGGTTAGAAATACACTGCAATCTGACTGCCTGCGGTTTTCACGTCCATAAAAGCAAAATGTCCTCTATTTGTGTTGTTTGTGTCTCAAGGTAGTCTTCAGCTTGAATACCGAGGAAGCAATATATTTTATAACATAGGAAGTGTCTGTGTTCATATCGTTGCTGACGAAAAGTCCTTCTTACTGTAACATAGGACATCTTGCCAAAAGTAATATGTTTTTTGTTTGTTTCTAGACAAAAAAGGAGGCGGTTGTATTTACAGATACAGTATGTACATAATCTTAAATATTTCTTTCTTTTTGTTTAACAGTATAATCATTGATGCTATTATTGTAATTTATTTTGGGGGGGAAAGGGGTCGGTTTGTTTTTCTATGTGAGCTCTTTTTCTGTTTTGATTCTGAAAGTGGTAGGTCTTAGCCTTGACTTTGAGTCTTGCAGTAAATAAGCAGGATTTAGCCTTGTTCTTATAGAAACCACTCAGCTGTTCTGTCCAGCCTCTTGATTATTCATTTAGATATTATTATTGAAGGTAACACACACATTGTAGTTACATACTGTATGCTGCTGTGGAAAAGGCACAAGCTCTTTAACGGCTGGGTGTTCCTCGGCAAGAAAAACGTCTCGCATCCAGAGACCGTCGCCTGTCTAGTGTAGACAATATGCAATGTCATAATAGAGCACACACACTCACACACATATGACATTGTCTTATTTTGTACCATTTAATCATTGGCTGCAGAAGTGCACTCACGCAATGTTAGAAACTACTGTATTACAATTTAAGTGACCTGAGCACTCTGCATTTATGTCCAATGAAGAGCATATCTGTTAGTTTTTATGAAGGAATATTATTTTTGTTTTATCTTCTCCTGAACGGCGAAATGTCCTTATAATCCTTTGTCCCTTTCAATGTTCTTCATACGGTTAAGCATGAAGGTGTCCAACTCGATGGCCATTTTAAAAGAAAGCTCTTAAGATGTGTTTTTGATTCTAAAAAGTATATATTTCACATTTTGATTTCAGTTTCCTAGATTTAACATGCAGGCATGTTTTATTGTTTTGTTTTTTATTTTTGTGTTATTGCTGTCTTTTTCACAGTTGTGTCATCATGTGGGATGTTTGTAACTCGTGAGTATCTGGTTTACATTATCGCAGCATATCCTTCTCATGCCAATGGTAAATATCACGGTTGTTCCTCTCGAATATCTTAGATATAAAACTATAACCATTTGAGCAGTTAACTGGATCTGATAAGGGCTTGTGTCCATGTTTGAGATGACTTAGGGGAGTCAATGTTATTGATAACACATTTTAAGTTAACATAAATGTCTGGACTTTTTAAGGCAAGAAAAGTCATTCTCAGATACATATCAACTCTCTAAATCTTAAGTCACTCGATAAATATACATAAAACATAATTATTATATCAACCCAAATTATGTTAAGCTTTTATTCTGAAAGTCTTCATGCTTTCAGTTCCTTTTTGTACTTCCACAAGTTTTGGCCTACTGTAGCATGCCCACATTGTTTCATCATCTATATGTCAGGATGTGAGACACCGGGTGAATCCACCACTCATTCATTCGTCTGTCACCCTTTAAAACAAGTCCCGATTGCCTACACTCTACCCTATCGTGCCTCGACACTTTTTTTTTTTGTTAAGCGCCTGTGGTACTCTGAAACGTTGTTCAGTCTCCTGTTGCCTTTGCTGAGGACAGCCACACACCTTCCATCTCTTAAAGACTAAGACAGGACCTTAACCTTAAGCACGGTCTTAGCTCATACTGTACATGCTCTACTGTCACCTTCATCGTACTGTGATGCTGTAATTTTAAAAAGTCAGTCTTAAAACATTTTCGTCTTTGTTTTGGCTCTTAAACTTTCAGCTCCTTTTAATGCCTTTTAATCTAATTTATTTATGTTTTGTCCCTGTTTGGTATAAGAAGGTCTCCTAGTTCTATTTATTTATGATATAATATCATCTGAAGCTATATTAATGTATATGGTGTGCTTTCTTTGGGAAAACGTACGTCTTATTTGACTGTTTGTTGATATTTTGTCCCAGAATCACAACCCCTCCAAACCCCTACGAAAGCCCATTTCTCATCTCTGTAGTTTGACGTGTTGTACAACTTGTTGTACAGACTGCCCACTGTGAGTGTTTAGCTATTTGATTAAATAACTGAATAGCAGATGCAGGTTCTTGTCAATTGAAAAAGGTAGATTCACAGAATTCAAACTTCTCTCATTTTCCACCAAGTTGTATAATATGTATTATACTAGAGAGTACATTATCTGGTTTCCGTTATTATTTATTTTGGCGTCCGCTGATGTATGATCGTCAAGAGTTGAGCCGGTACGCCTCTAGTCTCTTTGAAAAGACAAGCTGTCAGTGTATGGTAGAGGAGATAAGAGTCTTATATTGCTCTAGAATCTGCATTGTTTTTGGTCTGTTGATTGTCAGTGTAACTGCATGTACCCTCCATAACCTCAGTCCCTCTGTACATGAAAAAGTAAATACAACAAAAAAGGTTTAATTTATCTGTTGAATAGCCTGAAGATGTGGAACATATTGCTCTATATGAAAGTTCTCCTCCATTTATTGTATATGGTAATTATCACATTCCCATAATACTGTCAAATGACCCTCTGCTGCCACTTCTACGCCACCAGACTTACATTAAGTTAGACTCCCTGACTCTTTGGAAATATACCCGTTTTGATTTTATTTGGCACACAATGTTAAGCTGAGAATGAAACTTGCTGACCAACCACAAACACTTTCTCTTTACCTTCTGCGATTTTTGAACTCTTGTTCCTCTTGTTCAATATTCAGTGTTCTGCTTGTAGAACTGTAACAAAGGAATACTGTATTCTGAGGGCAAACATGTTTGGAAGGCATTTGCAGCCTATGTTTGTACACAAAAATGTTAAATAAAATCTCCTTGTATCTACATAGAATGATTTTTGGTTTTCGTTTTTTAAACTTCTGATTAATTCTGCAGCCTGGTCGCTTTTCAGGTGGAAGTGATTGCACTGAACAACATGACAAAGAGTGGACGAAAACAGCATGAAACAATAACATGTTTACAGGTTAGTGTAATTCTTCCTGATGTTACCACGAGACATGTGTATCAGCAGGACGCATATTCTCGGCTTTTAAATCTTCTATAAAACATCTGAGCTTGCCAGTAGATAATCGTATTTAGAAGTGAATCATGGATCTTACTGATGAGCAGTAAAACTACTAATGCAAGTCTAAAGAAATGGGTCTTTACAAATTAATAAGTATGTTAAAATGTGAGTCAGATTAGGCTGATAGTATTAATGGCAATGTTATTTCAGAGACAAGCAAAGAGAGCAACTAGATAAAAGTATTAATTATATTCAATCTTAACTTCTTAACTTAAATTATGAAATAGCTGTTAAGAAATCCAACAGGCCACTTGTGTCATCAAACGTGGCAGAGGTTTTACATTACATTGCAAATAAAAATAAAGTTTAAAGGTATCTGAATACATAATTTACAATGTATTAAGGCACATAACCATGAAGCATTCAAACAATACAATCCTCACATTTGTCTGCGTATTTGACTTTTACGCACAGCCTCATTTACAACAAACCCAAAATGGGCGTGGCTTTGAGGGTGTGCACGTGGACTCAGAATTGGCTTTCTCCTGGGGTTTCTTTTGCGTTTTGTAACACATGTTTAATGTGAAACTTATCATCGAAAAATGTTTGTACTTTTATTCCACCTATTTTGACGGTATCTTATTTTTATTTAATTTCTTCGGCCTCTTTCACTTTCCAGCCGTTCATACGTCACTATTCACCACAAGACCACCTCCTCAACCAACACACCCACACATGATACATACACACACACACACGCGCGCGCGCAGGAGAGAGAAAGAGGCACGCGCTTCTATTGTATTTCAGCGTGTGTGCGGCTCACCTTCAGAACTTCCCCTGAACCATCGATCATCAGCAGCAGTCACATATCACAGGATTTACAACGTATTCATTTTTCATTCCGTGTCTGTCACTTTCCATTTAAGTTTCTGGGGTAAAGATATCCGCCTATTGTGTTCACTTCTTATACACGTTGATTAGGAGGAAATACTTCTTATTTCCACTCTTAAAGGTAAGAAATGTTTTCTGCTTGTTCAGGCTATGTTTTAAATGTGTGTCAGATGATGTCTAAGAAGAGTAGTTACATTGACCAGGGGCTTTTTTCCATAACCAATGCGCGAAGATTGTGTTTATTAATTGAACATAAGCAACTATTGGTTATTCTAACCATGGAAGATTTCAATGTGTCTAGGTTGTGGAGTTTTTCATAGTAATACATTTAAGAATTAGATGGTTCAAGTCAAATCAATGTAGCCTACCTGATATTGCATCAACCCAGTACTTTGTGTGAATAGCTGTAATTATGAAAGTGTGTGTAATTATCTCTCTTTGTAAGGCTGATAAATTGATGAACGTCTGATCAGCATTTTGACCATCACTATCAATTAACATCTACTGTCATAACAACACTTTCCCTGCAGTGATTGTTCAGTATTAGCCCAGCTAATGTTTCTGTTGTCTTATATGTTCTTGCTATCAAGAGTCCACAACATGATGTGTGGGCCTCCCTCATTAGTTATAAACACAGAACCTTTGCCAATAATAATACAGCAGCTTTTCATTTTGTTTTCCTATGCCTTTGGTGGAGCTGGTGCATTGATTGACATGGCAGAGACAGATCAGCCTCTAGCAGGATGTGCATGTTCTTATCACTTCCTCCAAGCCTTAATGCACATTTAGCCCTGATCATAATAAAGGAGAGTCGTTTTTCATTAAAGCAGACAACTGGAAGCAGGTTAAACAAGAATAATCATGTAAGTTCTTGTTTTATTGTACCACTTTCTTCTATTTTGCAAATGTTACAGCAGCTTGAGGTTTTAAATGGTTGGGTGTTATAGCTTTCTAGAAATGCTGCATAAAGCTTGTTTTTTTTGAATTCCTTTGGCTTGTGAGAAAGTTTAAACAATAGAGAAAAAGCACAACTTTGGTCCGACGTACTGCCAATCAGGATCATAGCTGTAGAGCTAATACAAAACTATGTGAGAACAACACAGCAAGATTGGTGGAAGCACAATGTGTGGAAGGAAAGCTAATCTACATGTTTTCAGTTTTCTTTATATTTCCAACTCTATGGCAATGTGTCTTTATATTTCCTATGACTATGAGGTTGTGTGAGGTCTTTTACCAATCTTTTTTCATATACAGTACAATAATAGCCAGTTTATTTGAGAAATAATATGTCGTTCTAATCAGGTACAATCCTGAACCTCAACAGATAGGAAGATTGATGATTCAATATGGAATCTAAAGAAATAACCCACACTTTGGTTAGATGTGGATTTCCATACACTTCATAGTTTAATATTACTCAATGGGGAATTCCCCAATAACTGAAGTGAACTGAGCTGAAACTTCGTCAATATAAAAATTATAATCACAGCTTTTTCTTATACAAAGCTACGGCCATTTTGCCCAAGATGTGGATGACATTTTTTGACACCCACTAGATGTTGAATATTAGATTGAGGCTCAGTGAGCATCTTCATCGGCTCCAAGAATATCCCACAACATGAATGCTAAAGCTGGTCAGATTGATTAGTCATTCTGTTATGAGATTACGCTCATCAGTGTCACATTCATCTTTGGATTCATTTCTGATACAGTGGCAGAGACATGCTAATGCAAGGGCCCTGAAAAACACGTCCCAGCATCGCTCGTGACAGATTTCCCTAATCGCTGTGCCAGTCCATATCAACAAATCATTCTTGTCACCAAGTTTACTTTGAACATATGTCTGCTTTGTGCGCTGTGCCTCATTTCAGGGAATTTAAGCCCAGGTTTTATTATATACGTGTTCACGTTTCCAACAAGAGGAAGAAACTTGTGCCATTGGTCTTGAGTGCACTGATGTACAGCAGCATATTGTATACATGATGCTTGTATTATAGGCTAACCCGTTCTGTTTGTATTGAGTTTTAAGAAAATGTCAAACAAATAGAAGAAATTGCATAAAAGCACAACAAAATTAAGCATTTTTCCCAAAGACATTTTCTAAATACACTAATCCCCCCTGGTATTTCGCTAATCTGAAGCCACAGGCAACTGACAACAACAAAAATCCTTCAATTTACTTCCTTGTTTTGATACAAATATAGATTAAAACTGCTATAGGGAAACTCTATAATACTGCATAGTGTAGTATCAATGCAGCCTTGGTTATTTTCTCACGCGATCTGGAAACACGTCTGTCTTCCCCCCTGAGCCATACCCCATTATTCATAAGTGAATAACTTGGCTTGCATTTCTCTCAGACTGCCTTTGTAGAGGTTGACATAAATGCAGTGATGATAGCCCAACAAAATGTTCAAGTGTTGGTACAATGGCTTTGAAATGTATAGGTGGTTTAATCTGTGGTATTATCAGTGATTCTGGAGGAAAGCATGTCATTGACAGGAATGGTCAGTGTGTGGCGGAGTTTCGGGAAACTTTTCCTGAAATAAAAGGTTTCATTGTTGGACTGTCTGCTTTGGCCCTGTATGGAAACAAACTGCACGCCTGTCTTCCAGAGATAGATTGCTTTTCGGACCTGTGTGGTAGGCTGCAATCTGTTTGTACAGGCCAGATGACTGAGATTGTGTTCTCTCTCTCTCACTCTCCAGACCAGTGCTCTTAACTTGTCAGCCATCGGGCTAACCTCCCAGACCCTTCCTCTTCAACATTCTGCCGCCGTCTGAGGCAAAGTTTACCAAGCCGAACACAAAGGAGGTGAAGACGGCTGCAGAGAGAAATAGGAAGACTCACAGACTGAGTTACAGTAAACATTATGTCAGGTGTCATGTTTGTGGTGGCAACATCCTGCCTTGGCTGTCCTCTGTTGTCACTCTTTCTTCAAGGCGTACCATGGGGTTTGGCAAGGTGGTATTTTGTCTAAAAACAAGTCAAAGCAGCTGAGTTTGTGGAATGAAAACGCAAAGAAAGCAAATAATAAGAAAAAACAACCATGCCGGAGAATGACCAGCTGGTCTATATCGGCCTGGAGCTGGTGATCGCCTTACTGTCTGTGGCGGGAAACGTGCTGGTCTGCTGGGCCGTCTGCCTCAACTCCAATCTGCAGAGCATCACCAACTTCTTCGTGGTGTCACTGGCAGTGGCTGATATTGCTGTGGGGCTGCTGGCAATCCCCTTTGCTATCACTATAAGGTACTGCTTGCTGTTTCATTTAAATTATAATTATGACTTAAATCCAATTGTGCCAATTTACTGGTTTTTAACATGTTTTTTTGCAATCCCACATTAGTACCGGCTTCTGTGCAAACTTCTTTGGCTGCCTCTTCATCGCTTGCTTCGTCCTCATCCTCACCCAGAGCTCCATCTTCAGCCTGCTGGCTATCGCCGTCGACCGCTACACCGCTATCAATAACCCACTCAGGTGAGAGGAAACAAAAAGGTCACATCAACTGAAACAAATACGGTTTTCCACACTGTCACTTTCACCACATATCTCTTCAGACTGTTCAAATTTCTGGGACTTAATGATAGAGCTGCATTTTGTTTAGAAAGATATGATTTAGCTGTATTAATTTCAACACAATGTCCTTTATACACAAGTCAGAGGAGTGTGGGTAAACCATTAAACGTGACAAGCGTCCAAATTACAAATGCACTGTAGCAAAGCACATTAAATTATAGAAAGATATTATTACATTACAGATAATGTGGCCGGCTGTGTGCAGACATAGATGTATGCCTCCACAGGATTTATTAGGTTACTGTTTGTGTGCTGCTCAAGGGATAACATCTTCTAAAGAAATGTTCATGTAAATCAACACCATTTGAATTATATCTCTTTAAAACGGTCTCATTTATTTTAACAAAGCACATACATTTCTGGCATTTTTACATACCATTAAGTTGTTATTGAACTGTTTTAACCAAAGCCACTGTTGTTTAGTCACAGTTGCATTCTTTACTCCTGCCATGAGAGGATTTTGCATGCTTTAAGCCATAGCAGGTGATACATTTGCATAAGCAGCAAGTTGCATAATGGCCTCTGCGCGTGTTTGTTTGCTCGAGCTGGTGCCACAACCCCTGGCTGGCACTAAGGACCAGAGAGCTAATAATTCATCAGAGTTTTTATAGGCTTAATATAGCCTGCTGGCCGCCATCCTGGCCGTGAAATCTCAGTCACATGGGACAATGGCTGTAGGTGAGGGGATGTTGTTACCAGGAATACTATGGTTATTCGTGTTGATTCCCAATTTGTATTCCTCCACTCAAATGTGTGCATTGCCTGTGTCTGAATGAATCAATGCTGCCAACACGGTCTTTAAAAGTGCCTAACAACCTGAGGATGAAGCAAAAATGTAATATTTAAAAGCTGGATTTTCTTAAAAGCAGGTCCAGTTTCTAGGTATTAATAGCTCAAATGGCCTGCTTAAGTGAAATCTGAATTATTGAACACAAATGTAAATGTTGTATGTCCTCGTGTCAGAAAAGGCTAACTTAATTATTATAATATAAAGCTATTGTATATTTTTGTTGACCTAATCTTATCAGCGACCTCATAGTAAAATAAATGTCCTCATTATTTCGCCCAAGTTGGTACTCTGTAAATCATATGATTTTATTAAATGTCATGTTTGTATTTCACTGCATTCTTCAGAATCCCTTACAGTATATGACTACACTGAAGAAAACATCTTTAGCGTTTTGTCTTAATGTGTGAAAAACAAAAAGATGAGAAATACTTAGAGGAAGGAAATGCCCTTTATTGCACACTTACTGTAGGTGTCAGTGTACTTACAAGGTGTCAAAAGTCATGCAGCAACATGCAGCACTGTTTCACTTCTTCACCTTTTAGCATGGATAGAAATGAGAATATATACTGGCATAAAAGCCTCAATCAAAATGGATTTAGTAATTTCATGTGTCTTTAAAATGCAGACAAAAGTACTGGAGAGGTTAGATTGCTGTAAGTGCTTACAGTGTATTTAAAAGCCAGTGATGCCAGTGTTCATTCAAATCACCAAATATTGACTTTGCCACACAGCAGTGGCGGTTCTAGACCAATTTGACTGGGGGGGCCACTGGGGGGCCAGTTATTTTCTGAGGGGGGCACAATAAATGCAGGACGAAAAAGAGAACTAGACAGTATGAAGTAATTGCGCATAAGAAAACAATGCAATACAGTTATTGGTATTTGTTTCAGTACACTTATTTATTTCAGATATATCTTATAGTTATTATTGTTAGCTTCAGCTTAAGTTATAGTACAATTTTTGCACTAACACCATATCATATTTATATAAAAATAAAGGCAATGAACAGTTACATCTCTACTTTACATCTACAATTACACGGATACAATAGTTTAAATCACCTTCAATTATCGTGGTAGTCTCTCGAAACGTAGGTTTCAATCAGTCTTTCTTGGATGCAACAGCCTCTGATGATCCGAAATGAAAAGTGTTTGTTTTTCGCGCGCTTCAGCCGGACAGTGAAAGTGAGTGCACCGCTCTAATGGGTCCTGAGTGCACCGCTCTAATGGGTCCGACTAGAATGACGAATAACGTTAGTTCCGTCTATTCCGTCATTCAATAAATCGTGTAATAAATCATAAATCTTTCATTTTTTTCACTTTTTTCACTTTTCATTTTTAGGGGGGCCACAGGGGGGTCAGAGGTCAGTGTTAGGGGGGCACTGGACCCCCCTGGCCCCCCTAGAACCGCCCCTGCGGGATACTATCACAAAGCGATTAGATAAAACAACTAATGTGTCATTCTGCTCTGCTCAACCATTTAGGTACAACAGCCTGGTGACAGGGCAGAGGGCAAAGGGCATCATCGCATTGTGCTGGGTCCTCTCAGTGGGCATCGGTCTGACACCAATGCTGGGCTGGAACACAGGTGGGATTTTATTTGTTCTCCAAATGTAAACCTGACTTAACCCTAAGCCTGTAGAAATAACATAAATGTGGCATCTGTTACATGGTTCAATGGTTTCTGAGTAGGTGTAATGGTTTGTTGAGGCTGGTCTACGTTTTGTTTCTTTGTCAGTTGTTAAAAGCCAGAAAATCTGAATTATGGGAAACAGTTCGCCAAAATAAACACATCTCTCAACAATCCCTGCTTTTAGCGTCAACTTCCAATTCCTAGAACAACCATTTTCAAAGTGAGGTTGAAAAAAGATGTTCAAACGCTCCTTGGGGAAAATGGAAGGATGCATTTGATTTGTATTTCTTGATATAAAGCTCAAATTCATTTCAGTACTAACAATTAAAAGAAATGTATCTGGCATTTTTGTCGTCCAAAACCTAAAGCATGCAATTTTACTGATTTGTTTGACATTATATAAGATAAAACTGACACTTAATTCCCATTGCTCTTTGTTTTACAGGTTTGAACACAACCGCCCCAACCAGCAGCAAAATATGCCCTGAAGGTTTGACCGAGTGCCTGTTTGAAGGAGTGGTTACCCTGGACTACATGGTCTATTTCAATTTCTTCGGCTGTGTGCTGGTGCCCCTGTTGGTCATGCTGGTCATCTATGCCCATATCTTCATGGCTGCTCGACGCCAGCTCCGACTAATGTGTCTCAAAGTCGCACACACGCCCGCTCCTGGAGTTATAACTTCATCGTCGAGCTCATCTCGTTCCACCCTGCAGAAGGAAGTTCACGCAGCCAAATCGTTGGCTATCATTGTCGGTTTGTTCGCATTGTGTTGGCTCCCACTGCACATCATCAACTGTTTCAACCACCTGTGTCAGGACCGTGGGCGCGTACATATCTGGGTAATGAACATTGCCATCATCCTTTCCCATGCTAACTCTGTGGTGAATCCCTTCATCTACGCGTATCGCATACGGGAGTTCAGGCAGACCTTTCGAAGGATCCTGTACCAGCAAATCCTCGGGCAGAGGGATGGACGTGGGTTTGTGAACGATTGTGGTGATGGCAGAAGTGTTGGGAAAAGCAGTTTCAGGCGGCGGACTTCTTCCCGTACCAGTAAAGAGGGTTCATCGAGTGGCACCGTAGTGAATAGTTACGTCCTGGACTCCAGTCCTGAGCGATCTACACCAAAAGCAACTCATGAAGTCTCTTGCCATTGGACATCAAATTTAGACACTGCACCAGGTAGTTACATACCTAACGGACAGCATGTGAAGGGTAGCCACCTTCCAGGAATGCAGCAACCATGTATCACAGGCTTTGCTGCTCAGGATGGAGTCCAGTTGGTCTCCTATTTGAAGGGAACAACAGATGTGTTGGAGGTGAAAGACAATGAAAATTGCATTGCTTTTGTAAATGTTCAGGCTTTTTCTCTTAAACAATCTGACTTTGAACATTCAACAGAGCTCACAAAAGTCTCATGACATAGATATTTAGGTATTTAAAGGGGACATATTATGCTCATGTCATACTTTGGTTTTCTAATAGGACATTTTTACATGCCTAAATGTTCAAAAAACACTTAATATATCTCCAACGGTCTTTGTGTGTCTGAAATGCTCTGTTTTACCGAAAGAGCCCAGTCTCCTCTGACTGACCTGCAGGTAAAGAACCCAGGGGAGCTAAATCTGAATGGTTTCTTGAATCCTATGTTTTCAGATCTAGGCAGTCCGCCCACGGTGTATTATTTCACAGGTTGAGTGTAATAATTCCAGGAACCAATATGTGCAAATGGTATAATGATATGTCCTCTTTAAATATTTGTATATGCCATAAAACCTATACAAGTCTGAAAACATAACAAAATGAAAAAGGATTAATAAAGCCTCAATAAAACCCACAGTAACTGTAAGCACCTGTTGCTCTCTTTTGTTGCCCACTTACTCTTTATATTCAACCAATGTTGAGACATAATGACATGTAGTACAATAACATATATATGCTCTTTTTCTAAGCCAAATGCTTTTTCAACTGTACTGTATCTTGCATTTATATTTTCATTAGACAATAAACATTTGAAACTTTGAATTGTATTTGTTTCATGTCACTTTTGTATTCTGTATTGTGTTACTCATCTGAAAATAAAACACTGACTCTTAAATACTAATTAGCACACTTTTTCATCAGCTGAGGACAATTCTTCTCTAGAAGACACCGGCTATGTGTTCAACAGACTGTTAAAGATTAAGCACTATAGTATGTCCTAACAGCTGTAAGTAATGGTCTGAAGGAACCATACAACTCAACCCTCAAAGACAACTTGGGGTAAACAATAAGATTGTTTGAAAGTGTGCAAGGCAAGGCAAGGCAAGTTTATTTATATAGCACTTTTCAACACAAGGCAATTCAAAGTGCTTTACAAAAAATGAAAGAGATTAAGAAAATGGCATTTAAAATCAGTCATTAAAAAGAAAAGCTAATAAAATAAACATTAAAAGAAAAAGTACATGGATAAAAGTTACAGTGCAGTCTAAGATATGAATAGTTCAATTAAAAGCAGCGACAAAAAGAAAAGTCTTCAGCCTGGATTTAAAAGTAGTCAGAGTTGTAGCGGACCTGCAGGTTTCTGGGAGTTTGTTCCAGAGATTTGGAGCATAATAACTGAACGCTGCTTCTCCATGTTTAGTTCTGACTCTGGGGACAGAAAGCTGACCAGTCCCTGAAGACCTGAGAGATCTGGATGGTTCATAATTTAGCAGGAGGTCAGAAATGTATTTTGGGCCTAAACCATTCAGTGCTTTATAAACCAGCAGCAGTATTTTGAAATCTATTCTTTGACACACAGGAAGCCAGTGTAAAGACTTCAGAACAGGAGTGATGTGATCCACTTTCTTAGTGTTAGTGAGGACTCGAGCAGCAGCGTTCTGAATTAGCTGCAGCTTTCTAATAGATTTTTTAGTGAGACCTGTGAAGACACCATTGCAGTAGTCGAGTCTACTGAAGATAAAAGCATGGACAAGTTTTTCCAAATCCTGCTGTGACATTAGTCTTTTAATCCTAGATATATTCTTTAGGTGATAGTAGGCTGATTTAGTAACAGTTTTAATGTGCATCATCTCTAGTTTAACGATCTGTTTAAAAGTAATTCCGCAGTGTGCTGGATAGCTACAGAACATTTGGTGTTGCAAGTTTGATCAGTGATTTGATAACTGCCAGGCAACAAGATGCTGCTTCAACAACTTCTTGACATAGAGTATGCGTCAATGGCATCCAATGTAAACCGAACACCCAAAATAAGGGCTTGTTTGATCTTTTCAAGCATCACACCATATGCCAGTAGTGTGGCTACTCACACACACGCACACGCACACACACACACACACACACACACACACACACACACACACACACACACACACACACACACACACACACACACACACACACACACACACACACACACACACACACACACACACTAACGTAAAGTACATACACATGACCGCAGATGACTTAGCGGATCAGCAAGAGGTGTTTACAGAGCAGCCCGGCGGCTGTCAATGACCCTAATGCAATGGAAATCAAAAAAGGGTCATTTCATGATGTATTTTATTATGCCATTATGCTTTCCCAGTCCTCATTACAAAGCCATTGTGGGAAAGGCCTGCATTTAGCTACATGTACATGCCCGGAGACATGTCTCCAGGAATAAACACATATGGGTATGTATCTAGATCATGTACTGTTTCTTTATTTTTAAAACTTTGCATATCAGTTGTATATTGTACTTTGTGGTCATGCACAGGGGCATTCAAATGGATGAAGCCATTTCACTTTCATGCTTTATTTTGTGTGTTCTATTTTGATTAGCGTGATATAAGGGTTATATAATGATGTGGTCATGGGTGATGACGAGTGAACACAATAACAAACAAAAACAAATATAAAAGCAATGTTAGCTGAAGGTGAACTACATGCCATAGCAGCCGCCAAAGCTACCTCACTGGCTCCATCATTTGCTTTTGTCCACACACAAGGCTCTTTTAGGGTAGCCTTCATGTAAAGTATGGCATGATGGCCTGACTGGAAACCATCAGGTGGGCGTCTTGATAGTATGCCATTGAGTAATAAACACATGTATTGTAAGCATCACATTGGCATGCAAAATCTCTGCAAGCTGTTTTATAAAGAATAAACAATTAAGTAGAAAAACAAGGTGTTTGTTTTACGATTCTCTTTATGTTATCTCTCAATGTGATAAGAGTGGAGACATAGACCTGGAAACATTTATACAATGTCTAGTGTAAAGACTGTACACTGTATAGACTTTATTTCAGGCGAGAGACACGTTTTTAAAATTGTATTTAAAAAAACAACCAACATAATAATACACGGTGACACAAAACGCTTAAAGAGGGAAGGGGGAGAGATGTGATTGTATATACTGTTTATATGGGACTTTCCAAGCAACAGCACGTTAAAGGTCAAGAAAGTATTTGTACATGTAATGTAGGCTACATAACCATGTTTTACCACACATTTAGCATACATATGTTTACATCTACACACATACCATAGACTGTATTCATACATACATCTGGTAGGCCTACTACAGGTACAGTACAAAGTGAATGAAATGAAGGCCAAAATAACCCAAGCATGTACATAAATACACACATTAAAGCTGCAGATATTTTTTTGTATCTTGAGTTGATTAATAACATTATCCCGCCTATTGATTATTAAAGTCTAAGTGTAAATCAATGCAAAACAAGGCAGTCTCTCCTTTAGCACCTTACAGAAAGCAGTGCAAATCAGGATTTAAAAAAAGAAAAAATTGTTAAAATAACAATCTAATCCCACAATGCACCGCGCGCGCAATGACACCGGAAGCAGTTTATTGACCCCATGTTGCATTGTGGGTAGGCGGAAAAGGCTCCAAAAGCTACGCAAAAGCTACAAGCGCACGTTGCAGTATCGTCCAAGAAGAAATAACTACGACAAATAAATCAAATTTCAAGAAAGAAAACAGGTAAGCAACTTAACATTTAAAACAGAGTATCGTTATTGCTTAGTTTACCTAACAATAGTGTTTATCTGTGTTGTACATAATAGCTAATTCATTCAGGTAGCTAACATTGCTTCCCCACTTTGCTGAAGTGTGTTTCCATAAATAATGAACTGTTAATCTTACATTTAGAAATCAATTGCAATGTGTTTTGTTTTTATTTAATACGTCAGAAAGACATATTAGTTCGGGCTAACCCCTTGTAAGATTACGTTAGCGTTGTTTAATTCATTGAGGACTAACGTTTGCTAATGTGGCTAATTTAGCTAGAAGCTAAGTATCTCTACTACAATGAACTGGTCATAGTTAACAACCCCGGAATGTTAGCAAGCGATCACTGCATCCTGTGATAACTTTAGGGTAGTTCACTGCAATAGTACAAGTTGTATTAACATTTTGTAGACTGACATGGTGCTATAATGTAAACGGTAACAATGCAACATAGCGAGTGCTAATGCAAATAATGGATTCACACAAAAACAATGGCTGGCCAAATGTATGGTTTTACACTACACCAAATCAAGTAGAAGTAAGTTCAAAATATCTGGAAGTAAAGATAGTTTTTGAAACAGGTTTGTGACAAATGTATGCCTTTGTAACATTTCTTCCATTTTTCTTTTTCTTCCAGGAAGATAGTTGAAATATGTCCATCGGAGTACCAATCAAAGTCCTGCATGAGGCAGAGGGACACATCGTGACCTGCGAGACCAACACGGGAGAGGTGTACAGAGGCAAACTGATCGAGGCTGAGGACAACATGAACTGCCAGGTTGGTTCTAAAGAAGAAATGCTGAATAATAATAATGTAATCATAGGAAATAGTCATTCTTGCAGCCCGATATCCCCAAAGTGTTATGAGGCATTTTTCTGTATTTGCTCGTTCTTGCATCATTGGAACATTTAGATTGATAACCTACTTAATAGTATACCCACAAGTCAACTTACATTGTGACCTCTAAGTCTTTAAATAATCTCATAATATGTGATTCTTAAGTATACGCCCATAAATGTGATTATTATTGACTTACTATACAGGAAAATGACCCTCTTGTGTGACTTATTTTAGTGTGATGCTGCTTTGTTGCCTAACAGTCTACTCGAGTTGAAATGATTTGAATTAATATAATATAAACCATTCGGCAACAAATAAATAATGATATATTTCTGATTATTGTTCAAGCAGAGACAGTGATGCCAATCTCGCTGAAATGATTTTCTTTATTGTATATTACTCTAAACTAAAATATTTGAATTTTGTTCAACAAGACACATGAAGAAGATGTGATGGCCATTTATTGGTGTTTCACAACCATATAAATATTTAAAAATAATGTGTTTGGAGTGTCCTAAAAGATGTTCCTGGACTTCTAGTTAATCCAATGTTTTCAAGCTCCAATCTGTGCTAGAGCCATGGTGCCCATCCTGCTAGCTGGACCTTAACTGCGTGTAGTTAATCAGTCGCTCTACGTGTGCCAGCACTGCACTATTTAGCTGCAGTCTAGGTTTAAATGTATAGTTGAAATGGTGTATTTTTCATTGAAGTGTAAGGACTTGCATTTACATGTTTCTATGCCCACAGATGTCCAACATAACAGTCACTTATCGTGATGGCCGGGTGGCACAGTTGGAGCAAGTCTACATCCGTGGTAGCAAGATCCGCTTCCTGATCTTACCTGACATGTTAAAAAATGCCCCCATGCTAAAGAGCATGAAAAACAAGAACCAGGGATCCGGTGCAGGAAGGGGCAAGGCAGCTATTCTCAAAGCACAAGGTGAGGAAAAGTTCTTGCACCAGTACCTCCCCGACCTTTTCCAAGAATGCTGGGTTTTTAGCTTACCTCATACTCGTGGCTCTTTTACTAATTTCAACAGTTTACACATTTAACCCCTTTTTTTATGCTGCAGAACTGAATCTCTTATGTTTAAGGTCAATGTACTTATAGATATGTATTTTAAGTTGTACCGATTTGTATTAACAACTCTTGATGGGTCCACTGAGAGCATTTTAATTTTTTTAATTTAACAGATAATTAAATGCATTTTACAGTACATGAGTATATTATCCACCTCTTACATATTTGGATTTATTCATAGATTATCTGTGCTAAATGAGTAAACCAGAGGGGTTTGTATTAGTCAGTTGTGTGTAATATGTATTCTCTTTTTTGCAGTGGCTGCAAGGGGCCGGGGACGTGGTGGAATGGGAAGAGGAAACATCTTCCAGAAGAGGCGATAACTGCTCCAGCTGTGTTAACATTGTTGCATTGTATAGTCTTTTGTTGTTTCAGTTTGTCTTCTTTTGATTGGAAATGTTGAGATTTTTTTTTAGCAATCCTGTAATTTGCAGTTTATGCTTTTATGTTCATTTTTTTTTTAATGAAAATAAACATTTTTCAATTTGATCATTCTTGTCCTCTGGTTTACTCGACTACTAATTCCATGCCAACCACTTCAAAACATTTTTTTTACCCACACTTTGTAAGGTAGATTTACTTGGTTCCAAATGAATAGTTTTCAGCATCGCTTCTGCCCCAGTTGGATTTGCATTATATTTGAATGCATAAAGAAATTGAATATTGGCAATATGCACCAGTTGCACCCTGCATATCCTGAATGCAAAATTGAAAACATGTGAACGTTGCTTAAGCTAATCTTTGTTTGCTCAGGTTTGCTGGTGAAACTGCACATCTGTCTGACTGACTCTGAACATGAAGGAAAAGTTATCACATGAACTGAGCCTAAATGCATCTTAGACACAATTATAGGCTATTGAAGAATCTACTGGTACTAGCTTGCTCAGTGTAACCGTGTTTATGTATCTACTATAGTGTGTACTATTTTCCAACTTGTGCATATTTATTTCAATGTAAAAAATACTACAAAGCTGCTTTTAGGTTGCAAGTCTCAAACACCACAAGAGGGAGCCAGTTGCCCATGAAATGCTGATGGAAAGCCCCCAGGAACAATAAAGTGTTATCTATGTTGAGGTCGCGAGTTAAACAGAAAGAAGAACAAAGGGTAGGCTACACCTCCAGCGCGGTTGTGGGTCTCTGAAGCATATTGCTGAAACTATTCACGTTAAATGACCACAGTGCCCGTTCACCAACACTTCCTCCAGAGGAAGCACGGGACCCTGTGCGCTCCGCGGGATTGGTCCATCACAACATCGGGTGTCTGCTCTCCGGCTGTCACACAGCTAGCTAGCTGTCGTGGTACAAACGCGACTTGAACCGCAGCTGAAGGAGGAGAATACACCCAACAAATCTGATTGTTGTCTAAATAACACGTTAAGGTAAGGCTTAATTGTTACATATAGTATTTGCTTTGTGTTCTGTAGCGTTGTCTTGGGGCGTACTATGGATGATACTGAGTCGCACTAGTCATCCTTGACTCCTGACTAACAACATCTGTATTTTGACAGATGAGCCAGCTGCTAGCGTTAGCTGAGCTAAAGTTAGCTTTGTGGGACCTAAGACGACGCTAACACTAATTTCAGCCTGTGAATTTGTGTCAACATCGATAAAACATTTTTTGTTTACCCGTGTTAATGTGTGTTCTCGGTTGCAACAGTATAAGGAAGAGATTACTGCACTATAAAAGCTAAACCGTTGTCTTTAATGGAGAGTAAACGTGAGAATATCTATAATGAGTCTTGGTCTAATTGTTTGTTTGCGTTAACGATATGCTCAAAGGGAGTTGATGTTGTTGTGCATTATAACTCAAACAAATGTCATTGTCGTTGTGTGAAACTCTTTAAGAAACCAAAGTTCTATTAACATGTCTTTTATTGAAGATAATATAATATGTAGTTCCTTTAATGTTATTTTTCAACACAGTTTTACAGTGTTTCTTTAATTTAACTTAAAAGGACTTCAAACCTAGGACTTAAAATGAATGCCCCATTTTAAAGGACACAGTTGTTTGGTTAAACATATGATGACAAACTTCATATCATACTTGAAATTCACCATGTAATATGTCTGCTACTGATCAAATGGACTATTCATCTTGTTTTAAAGTTCTGAACAAAAATGTGTCTGTCTTACCCTACAATGATTGAAACCTATTGGGAAACACATGTCTCAGTTTTAGAAATGTAATGAGAAAAGATCATCCAGAGGTGATTAGATGTGTCGATTAATATGGACAGAATAATCCACTAGACTTTGGGTTTTTGCATATTTCGGTGCACATTTCTCACCATTATTATTTCAAAACAATGAAAGATGTGGGTATATTTGTAGTTTTGTTGACGGCCAATTTCTGAAACTCCGTAACATTTAGCTGTGCTTGTGTGATAACACTGCAGTTATGTATAGTATAGTATAGTATTCGTTTATTAGTCCCCGAGGGGAAAATGTTCCCCCGGGGACGCTCATCCCTTCATTTACAGGAGCTTATCTCTTGCACGGCTCCGCAGATCACTGACAGGGTTGCCCTGTTGATCTTTTAATGAAGCCGGGGATCCTCCTCTGCTCCAGATGGCCCTGTGTTGTACTTGTATGTCTATGGGGCCATGTCTGTGTTGTTATTAATGCTGTACAAAGCCTGGACCCCCTGCAAGCTCTGATAAGTCCTCTCTCCCCCTCCCCTACAACAGCACAGATAGTGAAGGTCATATGACTTTTGTTAGGATAAGAGGTCCAGAACGGCATCTGGAGCTAGGCATTATCTGTTGTAGTAAGCAGCATCTAAGTGCTTATTCTTCGACTAGCTGCTGTGATCACCAGGGATCACTGAAGTTTTTGTTATCTATTATAAAGAGGGTCTTTGTCTAGGAACAATATAGATTCTGGAGGCTTCACTGTTACAAACTACCAAGTTCAGAGGCTTCTTTTTATAGTCGTAAGGAGGGTTTATATATTGTAAATGTTCTGCTGAAGGCATGGATACATTTTTAGCTTGTGTCCAGCCCCCCAACCCACTCATTTTTAAAGTTAGGTGTTCGGTAAACATGACTTGTGAGTGAGTTGCGTCAAAGTTATATATTTCTCAGCTCCAAGCTAAAGGATTGTCATGAGTGTTAGCCTGACAGTAGTTTGACGTTTAGTAACTCATTTCTTAAATAGTGGCTGTTGACATTCGAACATGTTTAGAAACTTAGCTGGCATCACTTCTCCTTTTGTTGAAGTCTCATGCTACAGCAAATCCTGCTGGACATTAAACCACCAATGACATAATAACCCGCCGTCTGACGGACCCTAAGGAAGGATTTCCATGTTGGGCGGAGAATGGAAATGTAGTGATAATGTGTTGACTGTTATAAAATAGCATGAGGGAACAATCATTTTCTTTCACCAATATAGAAACTACACAAAAACCTCTTGAAGGCAAACTGCCCTGAATGAGAGCATACAATTGTTCTGAAATCAAAGTAGGTCAAACTCGGTAAGTTCTCTCTTTTCTGTGGAAATAAAAAAAAAATACTGTAGCTGGTGCACTGCCGGTTTCGTCCAGTCTATATTTTTCGCTAGTCCATTGAGGCCAAGTCCACTTATCAGAGCTTTTCTTTATGGCACTGACACTGTATGTTATAGGTCTAACTTTATTTAAAGATATCATTTTTTTCTGGTGCTTGAATGTAGGATCGTATAAAATGTGTTTAAGTCAGGAACTCTCATGCAGGGCAAATATCTTGGACAGATTTGTTCTGATGAGAACATTAGGTCCCTAACACAAGCAACACTCCTAACCTGTAGACTTTGTGTTTGTACTGTCAGAATAATTGTCTGAAAATGATTATTCCACGTTTAATGAAATGGTCTTTTTGCAGCTAAAGACACAGTGCAGTCAGGAAGACAAGAGAGTATGTTCCAGTATGAAACCGTTATGCCTAATATCAGTCTCTTTGTGAATGTGCTGCCATTCTTTCTTCATTTTTGTGAGTTTGCATCACTGGCTGGCAGTGGAGGTAGTGAGGCCACCTGGAGTGGGTGTCTCTTCCCACACACGGTCCTCTTTTTGAACTTGGCTGGAGCTCCCACTGCCTTGTTTTCCTCGTGGCTTCCCTCTCTTTTCCTGTGTCTGTGAGATGTACTTAGCTCCCACACACTGACAAACCACAATCCTGTAAAAACCATGCTGGAAGCCAAGAGATCCGCTCTCTGTCTTTCTCTTTCTATCCGTCCTTTTCCTTCTCTCTCCATCCTTCTCACAGATAATGAGCAGATAATAAACTGAGTGGACTTGGAGAGATGGAAATGGCAGAAGAAAGGCTTTGGTTGGATGCTGCATACATCAAATACTGTGTTGTATAAGTGACATTAAAAGCATTGCTGTTATAGACGCATCAAATCTGTCCACTTAGAGCTGATGTTTGTGGTACTAGACATGTAATCATGAATTAATTAGCACCTCACAGAATGTGTGGGGGGGGAAATCAAAGGTTTCATACGGTAAGAACTGCATCTCCTTATGTTTCACAGCTAGTGGATATTAACGCCAATTATATTTCCCCTCACCCTTTCATTACACCCACAACTTGATCCGTGGTAGCCCTTCAAACCCTGTGCTCCAGCTGTGAAAGCGTGAGTTACGCATAGAATTTCTATAATACTTGGTCTAAGGAAAATTAGCAGCCCTGGTTTTCCTGGATACAGATATACAGATGCCCTCTTTTGTCTACCTGGACCCCCAATTCTCACTTGCTTTCAATTTCAAATTCACTGCGGGCGTTGTAAAGGTAAATGAATATAGCTAGACGAGCTTTTTGTTAACTGATATTTGTTTTTCACTCTTGCCACTGTTTGTTGAGGATGCTGTGAAAGTTGAATTAAATATTGGTGCTGGTTAAATCTTGTCTTGGGCTCCCGCCCTCTAACCTAGGTCATGCAGCATGAGCACATTTTGTAAAAAAAGTCCCAAATCAAAGTAGAAACCTCATCTCAAAGTTAACGTTTCCTACAGTATGCTCTCTCAGCAGACAAGGTGTGTATCGTAAGCGTCTGCACTCCATTTGTAGTCTGAGTATCATAGATCAATGACATTGGAGCTGGCTTTGGTTGTGTGCAGCTAAATATGTGGACGTGTGGACTGGAGAGCAAATGAGGCCGATTGATTGGCCCAGATGCAACCTCTGAAACCATCGGCTATTGTCTGACAATAACATCGCTTTTTAAAGGCTTAAAATGTGCTCGTCAACTGGCTACTTGTGAAACAATCCAGTCAAAGATACACTGTGATTGGAGGGTTCTGTGCGTTGAGTCGTGAGTCAAGAGAGAAGGACAGAGGTGTTATATTTTTGCTTTTGTTATTGTATTTGTATAGTGTGATTTACGGAAGAGGATTAGGGCCACATGATTTCTTTTTTGGGAGGATTTGAAAAAAAACTTCTTTTTTTTCGCTCAAAAAAAATTATGTTTTTTTGTTCTGAAGAAAAAGTCAGAATTCGGAGAACAAAAAAAAACTATATTTTTTTCCAATCCTCCCAAAAAAAAATTAATGTGGCCCTAATCCTCTTCCGTAGTGACTATATATTACAGTTACAAACATGTAAAGTGAGTTGTATACTTTGTTCAGGGTAGCGATTTAAGACGGACACTGTCCAAATAAAGCAGATGGTACTCATTCTGTCCCTTTTTTGTTTTCTTTGTCCCAGCACTATTTGCCTTATAAAAGCTCCACCTCCACGTTAAAAGTGCTGTAGATGTCCAGAAGGCCAACAGTTGTTCTCCATATATTTTTATTATTATGTAATTTGCTCATGTGTCACTGATTCCCCCCCAGGCTCCCATCTGATGGAGCAGTGGTTGTCTGTCTTTGCTAAGAAGAGGCACCATGTTCCCTTGTCACGTGACGCCCTGGCCCACCGCTGAGCCCCCGGCCTCCTGCGGTCATGCGCCCCAATCACAGGCCTCAAAACCTCTGCCTGATCTGCTGTGCAGCTGTCCCGCTCCACCTTTGAACACCCACTCCGAAACGCCCTCCCCAGACCCCATGGGGTCCCTCATCGTGGTCACAGAATACGAACCCAGCAGACCGCCCGGAGAGGAGGAGGTAAGATCAAACACACACAATATGTACCAGGGATGTCATTGGAAATGTGGGTTTCTACTTAATGAAGCGTTGACATATGATGATACATGGCCAGACATGTTATTTACCACACCCCATTTCAGATTGATCATATAAGAGTGATAGAAACAGACAAATGCAACATATTGACCATCATAATACTCATATGTTAAAAGGAACATTTTGGGTCTTTTCACACGGAGAGAAAACATACACATGTTGAGAGGAAACTGCATTTAAACCCATACAAACAAATTCCAAACTTCATTGCATCACATCAAAAGGTGTTCATCTGTGGAATAACTGTAATGATGAGCTGAAATACTGTGCAACTTTACCTAAACTAAAACTTATTTAGAAACCAAATCCTGAATGGTTATGAGCAGGACCTGTGAAGTAATGCTGCTTGCTATTTCTTGTCGTTGTAAAAGTTGTTTATTTTTTTACAAATAAATGATTTGTTTAAAACAATGAATCCAATATCACGGATGCCGATGACCTAAACTTTGATTTTCATGAAGAATGTGCGTTAGAGGGGGTAGGACCAGAACCGTTTTTAAGCTTCTTCTTGCCCCTTTTGAACATGACAGAAACTATTTGACTATTTCTTTTTTTGTATACCTTGAACTTTTTTTAAATTTTGATTCTCTTTGTTATAATTATTATTGTTTGTTTTGTTTCTAACATGTTCAATAAATTGACTAATACAAAAATAATACAACTATGATTTGTACATATCTCAGGTAGAAGACATGGACAGTTCGGAGACGCCCGAGCCTGCGTCCTCTGTGGCGGCTTCTTTTCGGACCCCGTCCTGCGACCTGCTGTCCCACACGGTGGGCCGGTCGGAGGCTCTGCTGCCCGGGAGCCAAGAGCAGAGGGGGAGGTTAAGCCTGTCGAACAGAAAGCTATCTCTGCAGGAGCGCTCGCATACAGCATCGTCACCCTGCAGCTCACCGGGACTCAACGGGCGCCATATTTACCCGTCTTTACCCTACTCTCCCATCACGTCGCCTCACTCCTCTCCACGCCTGCCTCGCCGGCCCACAGTGGAGTCCCACAGCGTGTCCATCACAGACCTCCAGGTAGGGTCAAGCCTTCGGGTTCACACAAATCCAGTGTTACGGATTTTTAACTCTGATATTGCTACTTGAAGACATTTCAAAACCATCAAAGTCAATCGTTTGGTGCAGTGTATTTGTAGGCAGATCCTGAAGTTAGAATTGCAAGAGTTTTCTTTAATAAAAGCCAACTGGATTTTCTGTAGAACTTGAATATATTGCAGAAGATAATTCCTGTAGGAAACACACATTTATGATATTTACACACATTTTGTTCAGCAGGTTAATCTCCACATGCTGACACCACTTTGATAATAGTTCAAACGTAAATGTATTGTCCAGAAGTAAGAAGCTAACGTTATGCTATAAACGATCTTCATGACAGTCGCATTAGTTCACCTCACAAACACTAAGCTAAAAGCGAACTTGCGCGCGTGACGATCTTTAGTCACATCTTGAAAGCCTGTAAAAAAAACACAGACCAACAACACATTAAATAAATAAAACAAGACGAGGGAACCCTAGTGCTAAAATGTTAACTAATTTCCTGTTTTTGGACACATTCCTTCACCACTCTAAACTGTTAACACAAAATATTGTATATTTACTGTTATTTCACTGGTTGACTTTAATATGTTCATTAACAAATCCCAAGAAATTAGCCAAAATGATGCTACAGCCTGCCAGTGTAATAATAATTGGGATTATATAATGTATACTCCTGCACCATCTGAACAGTGTACTCCCTTAAGGACTACATTGCATAAAGGTGCTACACATGCATGAACAAACTAACTCATTTGTACACAAAGCCAGACTTGTGCTCCTATTGAACATCTGTTAGTTCTCAAAACATCAGCTTCACACTCATCTGAAAGTAAGCAGACCTACATGTGCATTTGTTTTAAAAGCAGCAGCAGCAGCACACTGATAAAGAGTGGATGCAAAGGTAAGGTCTTCCTGTCTTGGTAGATCATAGCTGAGATTCACGTAGATGCAGAAACCTGTGAATGAAGGTAGAAGTGCTCTTAGTGCTCTGCAGAGCTGTGTTATAGTTAGAACATGATTGCATGTATAAAAGCAGGTTTACACATGCAAGGAATTTGCTTTTGTGTATACCAATACAAAAACACTAAAGAGGAATTAAGTTGTAAAAATCAGCAAATATAGAACTCTTTTCAAAACAATTAAGAAAACTCTTATACAATTACAATTAATAAAATGTATCTAGTTATACAACAAATAAGAATATGACAAGTTATACTTGTAACAAACAAAAAAAATATCAGAATTTAAAGTGCAAAGTTTCATTAAGTGAAATTACTTAAAAACATGTTTAAATAATCCTCTTATGGTGTTTAATTATTGTTTTGTAAATGACCTTACTGTGAGTAAAGGGTCATATGATGATGTAAGTTATTGTTATTTCTCTAAATGTATGTATTCACATCAAAACAAATTCTTGGCACTTAATGAACCAACAATGGTTCATTGACCAACAATGGAATCAATTACTCTTACAAATATATATATTTCAATGAAAGGCTGGTTAGTAGGTGTATCTCCAGGTGTTTGTATGACTCATTCTCTGTGGGCTGATTGCAGTTTGCTCTCAGCACTGAATGTGTTTAATCACTCTTTGTCTTAAATCCACACTTTTTATTTGATTACACCTGCCTCGTTTCCCCTGAAGATTACAACATATACTGGAACACTGTGATAGCTGGGTAACACATCCTACCTGTCAAGTCTCAAACATGGATTTGTGGAGATTTTAAAGACTGCTTTCAAGCTGACAAGCACAGAAGACGTGTCGCCAGATTTAGAAAAATACACTTAGAAATAGTGATGTGCAAAACGCTGCACTTTCGTATTTGTTGAACACAGAAAGGTAAACAATTAAATGTTATGGAAGGAAATTGTAATGGACAGGATATAGTATGGCGTCCTTGGGGAAAGCAGATTTTCGAAGATTGCTTATGATATAGTTCTCTATATCTAAAATGTGATTTCATCTGTACAGAAACCGTTTTTGTCCTCCTCTCTTCTTTCTCTCTTCAAGGACTGCGTTCAACTCAACCAGTACAAGCTGAAAGATGAGATTGGAAAGGTACAACTCAACTGATTGCTCCCTTTCACCGACTCTCCCATTTTCTCTCTCCCTCCCGCCTACTGCATGTCTGTCAAGTAGCGCGTATCATCGAGGACACGCGGTAACAGCCTCCGCTCTCTTCCGGCTGTCCTCATTTCCCAAACTCTGAGTAGACTCCCAGGCCAAGGGAGAGTTTGGGCGAGAGGCTGCTGGTATAAATAGCGCTCTCTAAGGGTCGTGCAAGGCTTAGCTCGCTATGTGTGTGTGCACGACTTACATTGTGGGTTTCATAAGACACAATGTGCACGGCTGATGTGAATTTCTGCATGAGGGCAGACATGTTAATGTGTGTGGTTTGGCTGAGACAAATAGAGCCTTTCAAGACGGTTGCTATCAGATCGTCTCGGGGACTCTGCCTCTCCGTTCTGCCCCCGCCTCTCTTATCTCTTGTTTGTTTTTTGGGCATGAATGTGTGCACACAGGCTGCTAATTGGGCCTAGTTTTTATCCTGTATTTCCTGTGTGTGTGGGCAGAAGAGCTTGATAGCATAAACCAGATCCAGGTTCCTTAATTAGCCTGAAATCAAAAATGAAAGAGAGAGAATTTCTCTGTTCTCACTCTGAAGCAGCTGGTACTCTTTCAGTGTACACTGTCGACCCACACAGGGCCGTCCCTCCCTACAGGCCGATCATGCAGACTGCGTGGGGCCTCACCTTGCGGAGGGGGCCTCACCTTGCGGAAGGGGCCTCACCTTGCGGAGGGGGCCTCATCTTGCGGAGGGGGCCTCATCTTGCGAAGGGGGCCTCACCTTGAGGAGGGGGCCTCATCTTGAGGAGGGGGCCTCATCTTGCGGAGGGGGCCTCACCTTGAGGAGGGGGCCTCACCTTGCGGAGGGGGCCTCACCTTGCGGAGGGGGCCTCACCTTGCGGAGGGGGCCTCACCTTGCGGAGGGGGCCTCACCTTGAGGAGGGGGCCTCATCTTGCGGAGGGTGCCTCAACTGAGCCGAAAATGCGGCGCACCTATGCAGCGCAATTAGTGTCGCATAAGCTCGCGAAACAGAGGGCCTCATCATATCACTTTGCGTGGGGCCTCTTGTTGGCCAGGGACGGCCCTAAACCCACACACTTCCCCAGTGTGTATATATGTGTGTGTATCGTGTGTATCTATATTTATTAAGATTGTTTTGCACTTAGTGTGATGTGTCTGCCTTTCACATGGAAAATGGCAGCTGCTCAGCCTCATTCTCACATTTTTTGTTCCTTTTTTAAAACGTATTCCGGTTCCAGGGCTCCTATGGTGTTGTAAAGCTGGCCTACAATGAGGATGACAACACATACTATGTGAGTCCTTCACACACACACATACAGATGTTATGTCTTCCCCATCTATTAACATTTCTCTCATTCCTAATCACTTGTCACACAGACAGAGACATAGCTCATAATGATCAAGTCCCATTAACTGGTGTCATTTCATGTGAGTCCTCCACGTGTGAACATGTTAATTGTGCCTGGCTGCGTGCTGCGATAACAGATTTACTGTCTGCTGTTCATGTGTATTGCTGCAGTTCTCATTAAGCTGCATGATGTTGACAGGCAATGACACGAGGATTATTTTAATATTCCTCCCAAGTGGCAAAGCCCACAAGTGATTATATCATTGCCATAACAACTGAGGGCCGTCGAGGCTTATAACCCCGGAACACGGAAATGATCTGCCGAACAATGTGGCTGTCACACAATAGATGTGTATAAGCAACCTTTTAATGTGTGCCTATTTTCTAACTTGTCCAATTTAATAGTTTTTAAAATGAAAAACTGATAAATGCTGTGTTATTTAGCGACTTAACTCTTTTGAAATAGAAATGTAGGAGTCCTGTCAGAAACTGAGCAAAATGCATCGTTTCTTTAAGGCCTGAAATGTGTTTGCCATGCATGTCCTTTTATTGTTTACTGGTATGTTCTATGAGACAAAATGTTGCTAATGACACCTAGAAGTCCATCATTTTGAATTATATACTATTTTTAAGTACATGCATATTGCCTCAAGTATATTATATGAATTAAAGCTTATTGTATGATTTCAAGCTTTAAAAACACACTTTTTCGGTAGATGTCGTTGACATTTCAGAAGTATTTCTTAAAGAAGGATTAATGAGGCAGGTTTGCATTTCACTCATTTTGCACCTTGATGCTTCTCAGCTTTTAAGCCGATGATGCTTTCAAGTGTTAGCACTCCCGAAACGTACACAAAGGATGTTCAAGGTGAGGAGAGAAACGTAGAGGCGCTGCTGAGATATGTAGGTGTGTGAGTGGGTGCTCTGTCAGATGTCTTACTCTGTCTCTTTGTCTGCCTCTCTGTTCATATTTGCTTTGAATCTCCTGCCCACTTGGCTCTCCCACCCACCTCTGACTCTACTCTTATCCTCCACTCCATCTCCCTCCCGTAGGCGATGAAGGTGTTGTCCAAGAAGAGGCTGATGAGGCAGGCAGGTTTCCCTCGTAAGTCCGGAGCCAGGGGCAGATGGTTTAAACAGCAGAGAGCACAGTCTCTGTTAATGCCTCAGTGGTGCATGAACACAGCGCGTTAATACTTAAAACCCTGTCTGTCCTCCTGCCCTGTCTCTCTCTCCTCTGTCAGGGAGACCTCCGCCTCGTGGAGCCAAAGCAGACCCTGAAGGCCCCCCTCAGCTCAAAGGACCCCTGGAGCGGGTCTATCAAGAGATTGCCATCCTGAAAAAGCTAGACCATTCCAATGTGGTGAAGCTAGTAGAGGTAGGGGGTATCACAATATCCAACTTGTTCTAATCCATAGTGGCTTCATTTCAGGAAGACGTTTATATACGTATAAGTATTATAAAGGTTACAAATAATTCAAGCATGATATTTAAGTGACAAAACAATTAGACCTACTCAAGTTCAAACTGTATGCAGTAAAACAGTCTAATTTTAAATTAAGCCTTTCTGTGTGAAGCACAACAAAGGTATGTTGCCAACTCTCTAGTCGAACAATTTGGAGAGATGCCTCAGCAGTGTCACAGAAAGAAGGAGAAATAGGGATCAAAACAACAATCAGTTTTTTTAGATTTCATTTAAGCATATCTGTTCAAAGAGAGTAAACCCAGGTAATGAGGCTATAACTGAAACCTCCCAGCCCTCAATAAGAGCATCACGTACAACAAAACTGTATGTGCTAGCAGACGGAAAAATGATCCATTTGTGTGTGTGTGTGTGTGTTTACGCTCATTACCATGTCTCTGTCATGTGTGGCCAGGTTTTGGATGACCCCAGCGAGGACCATCTGTACATGGGTATGTTGTGGCCAGACAGTTAGCCTTCAGAACAACACACACACACACACACACACACACACACACACACACACACACACACACACACACACACACACACACACACACACACACACACACACACACACACACACACACACACACACACACACACACACACACACACACACACACACACACACACACACACTAACAGCAAGCATAAAATAAATGCATTTGAAACCAACTTTAAAAGATATTTTTGGCAGTTTGTTTATGTCTTTGAAAAGCTTTCATCACTAACTCATCTGTGTTTCTGTCACAGTGTTTGAGCTGGTCAAGCAAGGGTAAGCTAAGCCTCTTTATGAAAATGATTGTGTCACTGGAATGAGCTGAACCTCATTAGTTATGATTGCTAATTGTGTGTTCGTTTATGTATTCAGGGCTGTCATGGAGGTGCCCACAGATAAGCCTTTCAGCGAGGACCAGTCACGCTTCTACTTCCAAGATCTGCTCCGGGGAATCGAGTATCGTGAGTCTTTCCAAAACATCCGTTATTGTTCAATCTGTGACTGCATGGTAGAGCAATAATAATAATGGGGGGGGGGGGGGGTGATTAGGGCTGTGCATCCCTTTCAGATGAGTTGTTATGCATCCAGAAACACTTTAATTCAATTCTGCTACAGCTGCTGTTTAATTATTTTCTTCTCACATGCTGCTTTATTTTTATTAGGCAGTTGAAATTAAATGTATCAAGGAAACTCAGTACTTTTTAAATTGTCCAACCTTTATTCTGAAAATGTTCTTGAATCTTAATATCTTAACCTTTGTGAAAGAAAAAATGAAAATGACTGATGATTACAGTAGCAAATCAGCCTAATACACGATAATATCCCAAAATGAGCTGCACTCGTGGTATCAAGATGAAGCGCTTTTGTATCTAGATCTGCCCGAATGCTGCACTTCTTCTACGCCACTTACACAAATCCTTTGCTGTTCTTGACTCAAGCCACCCACAAGGCTCATTTCACCTCAGCTCAGTGGCTCTTAATGTATTTCAGCACAGCAGAAAAGCTTTTGCACAATGTGTCGTCTAGGAGACTAACACTGAGAGGAGGAGATGCAAGGCAGGGACACTGAAACTCAATTATTTCTTATTATAATGAAACACAACTGAACAAGGCGGTAAGTGGTTACATGTTATGCTATTTAATTGCCCATATGGTAATCCAACTTCCTGACTAAGTGCACTTCCAGAGATTTCTCCACATTTTTCATTTTACACCCCAGGCCAACAACTGATGTGTTTACAATCAAATAAAAATAAAAACACCCACTCTCTCCTTACATTTTTGATACTTTTTATTAAAATGTTTATTATTAGACTTTTTAAACATGCAAAACAAACTCTAAAAGATACCAGATTTAGCGATTAGCTAATTTCCCTCTGCTGTCCATGGGTCGGTACACACATAACAATCAACAGCCGCTAAATATGATATTATACAAAATAAAAAAACAAATCAGAGCCTGGATCAACCTATACATACCAGCAAATAAGATTACAATTTATTTCAATAAAAAAACTTGAATTACAGGCAAATAATGTTGAGAAGACTGATTGCTCAATACCCAATTTCTTGCAATATGATAAAAAGATGAATAGTCTTTGCATGCTCGAAGCAGGATTCCTCAAATGGGATCTTGTTGCTGTTAAATGTGTCTGTAATGTTTCTTTCCCAACAGTACATTACCAGAGGATCATCCACAGAGACGTGAAACCCTCCAACCTGTTGGTGGGAGAAGACGGACACATCAAGATCGCAGACTTTGGAGTCAGTAACCAGTTTGAGGGCGCTGATGCTCTGCTGACCAGCACCGTGGGAACGCCCGCCTTCCTCGCCCCCGAAGCGCTCTCTGAGACCAGGAAGAACTTCTCTGGAAAGGTGGAGGAACATTTGACTAACTAGTGCCCTCTGGGGATGATTTGAAGAAATGCACACATCCTTGGTTTTTTTGGTCATTTCGTTGTCTTAGTTTTCATTAAGTGTTGTATTTAAAACTATTTCTTAACATAACATTTTTATCATGTTTATTACATCTAGGCTTTGGATGTTTGGGCCATGGGAGTGACGCTTTACTGCTTCATCTATGGAGTGGTGAGTGTGTGCTTTGGTAAAATGGCTTTTTGGGCTAAGAGTTTCTCTTGACAGACAATCAGCTGATCCTTCTTTCATTCACAGTGCCCTTTTATGGACGAGCGCATCGTGAGTCTTCATCAGAAAATCAAGACGCAACCTGTGGAGTTACCTGAAAAGTGGGTGAAAAGTTTAAGATTCATTCTAATAAATTAACATGAAAAATAAAGGTTATTATAATTAAGATTTTTTTTTTACAAGATGCCTCATAGCTCAACATAAAACGTTATTTTGTGATGTTTAACTAGGATACAAAGGATTGTAAAGAATATATCAGGTCCTTGGCTGGTAAAAAACAGAGAACCTCTGGTTTATTTGATTACATTGTAATCTTTTACTTCACAAAAATATGATTTAAATGTACACGACATAATCTGAAGGTTACATTTCTGTCTGCCTCAACAGTGCTGACATCTCAGATGATCTGAAAGATTTGTTGCTGAAAATGCTGGACAAGAATCCAGAGACCAGAATATCAATTCCTCAAATTAAGGTAAACACTCGTTCCTGTAAACTGCTATTTTATATTATATTGCATTCAAGCACATTTACATTATATAGAGGGCTGTAAACTACCTGTAGCAGATATTCAAATGGGGAATCACTGTATGTGTTAATGGGTTTAATGATAAGAGACCAGTGCCTCTTACTGGGGGTATTGTTTGGTTCTATACATTAACATGTCATAACAATGATTCCTTAGTTACATTCGCTTTGGTGTAAATCAAACCTCTTGTAGTTGGAGAAAAGTTGTTCCCTAATGTGGAAATGAAATTTGTGTCGGCTTCAGATCCTTGAAAATACAGTCGTAAGATCATTTTGTATGTTCATTTAATTCTACGTACGACATTATTGAAATCTCTCAATAACAATAACATGTTTCTGGCATAGCTTGACTTGAAGTCACTTTGGTAGCATGTGTTTCGATGTTCCTCCGTTCAGAGATTCTGTGTTTGGAATCATAAAGTAATACATAACGTACGCCATTGTTCTCCTCGTGCTTGTGTCCAGGTGCACCCGTGGGTGACGAGGCACGGAGCTGAGCCTCTTCCTCCGGAGGACGACAACTGTAGTATGCTGATCGAGGTGACGGAGGAGGAGGTGGAGAATTCTGTGAAACACATCCCCAGCCTGGCCACAGTGGTGAGTAGAACAACACAGAACACACTTCTGCTACCTGGAGAGGCACAAAAAACATCTTAACTGAGAAACAGTGCTTTTCAAGGGCTTTTTTTAATGTATTCTCTTTTTTCAGTTACATTTCAACAGCACCACTACACCTCTGCCAAAACATCCTTGTTTGCCCTCTCTGCACTCTGTTAGAGCGGATGTAGGACTCATTTAGTTGCTCTAATTTATTTGTATTAGTTGCGGCCAAATGCTGCGAAATACATAAACATTTGAGGTGGACCTAACATCTTCAGGCTAGGAGAAAACGTTAGTAACTGGAGCTCTTTGAATGTGAATTGAATATAATACTTGACTTTGGCCTCTTGTAATAAACAGTATATATAATATATAAATGCTATAATAAATGCTATTACAGCCTGAGTGGAAATGTATGCTCATTATGAAGTTTAAAAACAAACAATATTACGGTTAGAATAACTCCAGGATCAGGGATCTTTTGTTACTTAACATTTCTTAGCATATTCATTCAATTCAGTTCAAGGCTTTATTGTTATTTGCACATTAGCTACAGTGTAGATATGGTAATGAAAAACTTAGGTCAAAGGCTCCTCCAACAGTGCAACATATATATAGGACATAGAACAAAGAAAAGCGATGAAATAGTGCAAGTAAATACAAATAATAGCATGGTTTTCTGATGGGTGTGTTATTGTTGACTTTTCTGTTCCAGATCATGGTGAGGACCATGCTGAGGAAGCGCTCCTTTGGGAACCCCTTTGACTGGGCCCGTAAAGAGGACCGCAGCAGCCTGGGTGCTCCGGGGCCAACGCTCACGTAAGGATTGTTTACAGACACACAGCAGATGCTAAACTCTGTCTCTAGCAAAGGTTTTGCAGTAATATAAAGAGTAAATAGCTTGTGCTATCACTAGCACAATCTCATTTAGAGCTGCTGGGTCCTCTTGTACTGTGATATAGTAAAGCGAGCTAATGTTTGTCAAGTGTCCTGTTATTACGTCTCTTCCCCCCCCCCTCCTGGCCTGCAGGAAAGGCAGAGCAGGCAATGTGAGATACTGCTACATTCATTTTAACCAAACAAGGTAAATAACCTCAGGAGAACGCTGCCTGCTGTAGTGCTGCTGATAGTTTACTTTAAGCAGCTGTATTTCTCAATATGGCTTTGATGGTCAAATGCTCGAGTTTGTAAACTAGCCTGTGCTCGTTACGATGTCTGGACAAGCCATGTTTGGGAAAGGTTGCGCTGTGTTTTAGAGCCAGTAGTATCTGTATTATGATTTGCTTTATATTTTATTTCCGATGACGCTTTGGGTGAAGCATGTGCTGTGCGGTGCAGAAAATCACATTTCACTTTATAACAAATTAAAGTAAATACATTTATTTACTCAGTTAGAGCTTTATTAGACTACAGTGTTTTGTGGAATGATGCATGCAAACATTGGGCTGGTAGCAAAACAATGGACTGCCGTAAACGTAAATATTTGAGCCACCAAAAAGAAATGCCCATCTTAAACAACTATTATCAGTTTAAGTGTGTTTAGGCTATTTTTTTATATTCCACAATTGTACCTAGCCATTGGACAGCCCATTCAGACGGAGAATGGTAGCCGTTACATCTAGCTTTGCTGTTGCAGAGTGTCCATTCTCAATTGATAAAAACAGTAATTTTACCTCACAGACACAGATGCTGCCGGTTTACCGTTTCCTTGATGTTTGCTCGTGTTATTGTGTGACTTTGGTGATTCAAAACTTGCCCTTTAAACGCAAAAAACAACAACACAAACAAAACATACAGTCATGGGTGTGGAAGACCAGGAAAACTCTGTGTTCTGTGATGTAAAATGGTTTTATCAATGAAGCCTAGTGCTTTGAGAATATACTATAATGGCTTCAGTTCCCTCTATGGCTGCCTCGTGTCAAGGTAAAGCTGTGAAAATATTCGAAATATATTGTGCACTTTTTTCAGGAACACCTTTTGAAGGTGCCTTAAATACGTTTTGCTGCTGCTCTCTGTCCACAACAGTACATTGCTTAACTTCAGCGCCTTAACTCCTGTCTGTTCTTTAAAGTTAGGGTGTGCTGACCAGCATTCACTGTAGGAAATACACTGACTGAGGATAGGTGTGATATACAACCTGTCTTCAAATCCCACAAACTATCTTTTTAAAGTTAATCAAAAATTCTAATTACAGTTGAATCAATGCATTGGAAACAGAAAGTAGCGTTTTCAAGCTCATTCATCATAAGCCCACAGCCTCCATTTATATTGATAAGATGTTCTTTCGCATGGAGCCCTCTCCACCCTTATCCAAAGGAGCTGTAAACTAATAGCTGTTGTGTCTCTCCTCGACATAAATGATTAACTTCTTAGAACATCCCCCCTCGTTTCTCCCTTTTCTTTATTTTCTTCTCCTTGTGTATGATGTGTAAACTTGGCCAACAGCGTTTCCTCAGTGCTCGCTGCCTCGCATTATGTAACAATTAAACGCTTGGCTTCAGTTCTTCTAGCTTACCTAACAGTAGCTAATGTGTCCGTTCCTTCGGTGCTGTGTTTTAAATGCTGTGTCTCTGGTGTGTTTCTTAGGAAACAGGAGAGTGGCGACGGCATGATGACGCTGGAGCTGCCCTACGTGGGAGAGGACGAGGCTCTCTCCTGATGCAGAGGCTTCCTCACGCACCGTGTTATCTTCCTGCTTGCAAACACACCCCTTTACTCACTGTTTTATACTGGCAGCTCACACTTGTGTACATTTCCTGAAAGATGGACGTACGGCGGGCACAGAAAAAAAAAGAAGTTAAGGATCTATGAACAATTTTAAAGATTTCCTCTCCTCTTAAAAAGGCTCAGTTTGCAGATTGTGGGTTGGATTGTTCCATGAGAGGATCCTCTTCATCGTTTATTGCCTGACCCACTCTGCCCTTCTTCATCCCGCATGCGTATATAGTCGTGTTTCCTTTTAGTCTAGCCACTTGTGTTCTCCTTGTCTTTACTCGACAATTCTTTCAGGTATACAGGGCACGGGAACAGGCGATGGTGATGGGTGTTATGAGGAAGGATGGTTGTCTTCATCATCACCTCGACTTCCTCTGTAGGAGAGCAGGTTTTCTTGATTGTCTGGTTCTCTCTGCTTCAGAAGAGCAGGGCCCAGTTTTGTAACATATTTAAAAGGGAAGAATCTATACACTTTTCCCAAAAGGAAAAAAAGGGGAGTGAAGAAATGTTTACTTCATTGAATGCATGTGTTTACGTTCCCAATGCAAACACCCTATAAGCTATGTATGATACATTTGCACGCTCATACTTGTTTGATGCAATTTTCACTGTCTCTTTATGAATTTACTACAATCAATAGAAAGCTTTAAAATAGTTGATATATAGTGTTTTGTGAGCCATCACATTCATCATACTGCTTATGAGATAGCATAGAAGATAAATAGATCATTTCTTTTGCAAAGCAAGTTCTTTTAGTAAAGCTTTTGATATGATTTTAGGTGTTTGCTGTATATTTTTTAAAGTGATAGTTACAACAAATTGAGTAAGGATGGTACTGATTTACCAAATGCACATGAGGAAAAAAACGAATGTGTTGGTAGAAACAATCTGTCTGCAATGGTTCAAATGTGGTTGTTTTTTACTTTTCCAGTTATTTGGTTGTGTGAGTTTCAACTGTGTCATGTATTTGTTCCATTTCCTGAAGTGGATGTTTTTTAATGTAGTTAAAAAAGAAAATCATAACTATTGAACCTCAAGTTGAAATTGTGAATTACTGGTGTTTTTTTCAAAACTGCACATTTTCAGGACACCAAAAAACGTCAAATTATGTCTACCTTTGTAAAGTAGAGTACAGTAACTTAAAGAAAAACGAACCTTTAAACTACTTTTGTTCTTAGAGCTGGCCACTAATGTAGTTTTGAGGAGGAGGCATAGTGCAGCTGCAGGCTCTTTGTACAAATCTATGCATGATGTAGAAAAAAAACATAGTCATCTTTAATCAAGGCCGCCCTGCAAATATTTCAAATGAATTGTAAATTACTTTTGAATTGATGTTTTACTTTTAGAAGATCCCAAAGCAGTAAAACAATTGTTTCACCTTTTCTTCCCCCTTTGTTTTCTAAAATACATTAGTGTAAATGTAGATAAAGCATCTCCAACATAGAATATTGATACAATATTAAATATAACATGTAATGCTTCCATATTTCAATTATTCAGCACTCTTGTGTTGAATGTATGAGAAAGGGACTCCATTTATTTGTACTCACTACTTGCATGTCACTCTCGACTGTCAGTTTTCTAAGACTAGCACTATGCATACGATGTGGCTGGATGTGACTGATTCTAATTTGTTTTGTTTACCCATGTATTTCCAAAATGATGCAATTAGGTTGTGCTCCTTACAGTAAAGTGCTCCAAATCCATTTTCTCTGTACTTAATGATATTGCTCAATAATGATAACCAATTATGTTTCAATGCCCTTTATTAAGACAGGTAGCTGCAGGCATGCCTCAATTTGTGTTATACTTTAAAATGTCACCTCATTTAAACATTCACAGACATTTTACATTCTGAATGGGTTGCTTTTGTTTTACAAGATGAATTTAACTTCCCCTTTTGAAGTAGTTTTGCCCTTCATGAGCATCAAGAATAAACCGATGAACAGTTTGGGTCTGACTGGTGCAAGCCACAGAAAAGCTGTAAGATTAAACATTTTATATATAATATTTTAACTTGTTGGTTTTAAATTCCCTTTTTTCTCAGAGGGCCAGGCTATGTGATTCACCTTTATTAATCACATGGTTTTTCATTCTGTAGTGTACATTTATTTGAGCTTTGGGGGCGCTTCTCCCCTAAATGCATGCCAACATACTGAACACATACCACTGTATTGTCATAGCATGAGAGGTCCTTGATAAAACATGAACGAGACCTTTAAACTAATTATTCTATACATACTGTATCTTGTTCATCTTTGAATAAAATATGATTGCCTTTCTGATGTGTTTGAGCTTTGTATCAACAGTTCCTGAAATACACCACTAGTGTGTGCTGTGTACCATAATATTTCACAGGCTGTAGGATACTCCGTAGAGCCTGAATATCACATTGTGTTCCTTCCCTGTATGACAACAGAACACGTGCCATAGTTTGCTTTAAATGTAATGCATTTTAACATCTGCTGGATTCATACTGTACATATTCAATGGGCCATTTGCTACATGACAGCTCGTTTTTTAAGGACGACACCTGCATTTAAATGTAAAAATAATAAAACTCAAGTACCTTGGGTTGCCACTAGATGCTGATGTTAAGCAAGTTTACTTAAAGAAAAAGTGTGACCATGTCATCTTAATCAGACTGGCTGAATATATAGGTCTCCCTTATAGAAGAGAAATACTGTTTGAATTACAACACTATGTGAATTTGCGGTTTGAAATATTCAAAAGCATTTTTACATTGAGAAAATACGGAAGAGGATTAGGGCCAGCCACATGAAAAATGTTTTGGAGGATAATAATAATAGAATTCTGACTTTTTTCTCAAAAAAAAGAATTTTTTTTTTCATGTGGCTTTCATGTGGCTGGCCCTACTCCTCTTCCGTACTCTTAAGAAAATGATTCAATATATAAATGTAATGATTTTTTGTCCTCCAAAAAGTAAGAAACAAGAATATGTTGGAAAGAGTTGACAAATAGTGATTCATGTGCCACTAAAGAAACTAAATGATATCCAGGTGAGGCCTAAATCTCCTGTATAATGGATCATTTTTGGGCATTTTTAGTGATGATATTTTCATTAAAGATTGTATCCATGATGTTGATTTTATTTGTCCCTTGCTGCCTCTGTTCTGCCTGATTTTCACACTGCACTTGTCGGTTTTTAGTGTGAAAAAGTGTTGACGTGCAAGAATATGACCTTCACTCTTCACACTCAGGGCTTTTTACACATCTTGGGACTCAGAGTGTGACACTGACCTCTTGTGCTAATTTCATTGTACTGTTGTTGTTTAACTGAAAGACTCAAATGATTGATAACTCTTAACTTCTCAATTATTTTACTTTATGAGTAAAGAAAAATAAATGTAGAAAGTGAATTATAGTTTCACGCTAATGTGAATATGAATATATAAAGTTGATATAACTGAAACGCACCAAAAATTAAATGTACTAATCAGTACAGGGCAAATGGACTTATGTGCATAGCATAATCGTTTTTTTTTTAATCAGACTCAAATCCAATTAGGGACTGCTGTCTGATACAGTGGGTTATAAATCTCATGAGTGTGAAGAACTGTGCAAAACAGAGTGAGCATCAATAACATACAGCCATAAACATCAGAACATCAACATAAAAGGAATCCAAAGGCCAGGTTTGAAATTGGTCAAGTTTCTGGGGCATTATAAACGAAGCTCACTGTACCGAACAGCGTAATGTTGGTCGTATAAGATGCAGTGTAAATGCATCTTTGGGTCCTGAACTGTGCTGTTATGCCCCCCCTGGGGTTCATAAAGCAGCGTATATCTCCACATCAGCACTAAGAAGTGCTGAGTGTGACAGAATCTGAGCCTTCACTCCTCATGCTCACTTAATTGTTACCTGCTGCAGGCCAAAGAGGTAGGAAAGGAACAAATTGCAGTAAAACAGTCAAATAAAATACTTGCTCAGCCTTTTGTAATAATGCACGCTTTTTTAAAGACCTAATTCTGCAGGTAAGTTTAGTTTAGTGGTACACTCCGCCTCCCACCTTTACCCTTCTTCAGTACACTGCCTGTCCAATTAAAATAGACTGCAATCTTCTAAAAGGAAAGATCACAACATCAGAAGTTTAACATTTTACAACTGTGGAAAACAGAACAAACAAACCTTTCAATTATTAGCAGAGAGAAACTAAATTCACTTACTGCTATTGCTGCATTTTTGAGTTATGCTACAACAAGGCTTTAAATATAGAAAGGACTCAATTGAGACTCTTGACATTCCTTATTTAATTAAAGATTTTTCAAGTGTGGATGTAGCTGCAGAGTAGAAATGAACAATGATGAGCCTCATCTCAGTCAGACTTTGTTCACTTCACAATAATAAAGTATGAATGTTAATTTAGAATTTCTAGGCTATAGGAAAAATACATAGGCCTACTCACTTAACATATTATTATCAGATGGGTTATTCTTTTGCCTGTTTGCCTTTTTTAAGCTGTATTTGAAGTGCCTATCTAAGTCTAATCCTCTGACTGGAACACTGGATGTGATGTGGTACGCCTGCAGCACGAGCGAAAAAGCTCAAGTGCTGAACTTGTGTACAGCTTTGCAAATGTCAAATCAACCTTGTTTGAATTCAGATCGTGTGGAGTTTTCTACATGGAATAGAAGGCTGTAGTTTACTGTGATCGTTGCCTTTAGCATTATGCAAGATTAATACAATATCATTATCAAGAAGATATTACTTTAATAAAGCCTGCAGGCTATTTCACACAGACAACTACCCTGAGGAGCAGTGGTGCAAATAAATAAATAAATTACTCGGTGTATTTCACTTTTAGGCTAGGTTTGTGAGAAAATACTGAACCTCTTACTTTGCATGTTTAGAATAATTAAACACAACATAATCAACATATAAAATATCAAGTAATACAAGATTAAGATAAACTATTATACTAATATATTTGGATGACCTAGCCTACTTTGTCTTGCATTAAAAAAATGAATTCGTGCTTGTAACAGAGTATACAAGGTGGAGTTGCTATTTCATAGATGTGTGTATCATCAAGCGGCTGTAGCCTACAGGATATCAAACGCACCCTTCGTAATGAGGCGGGGTATTTAAACCTTCGCGTGTCAGCTGTTGCTGTAACCAAGCCTGCTCTCCGTTAGCTAACATGACGCTGCTGGAAACATGCTAAACAAAGACTGTAAACAGTAGTTCGCTGAGTTAAAGGTCAGCCGAAAACAACCGCACTGTGTTACTACTTGAAGCCTTTATGGAAAAAACATGCATGTTCGCTGCCACGCGTGTTCACCAGTCCTGCTGTGGAGCCAACCTGCCAGAAAACTAACCGGTTAGCAGCAACCTCAACTAACTTCACAGAGGTAATACTGCATTTACTAACATCTGAGATGATGTCTTCTCTCTATTCAGTTGTTGTTTGTGTGTTTTATGCTCTTTTCATCTGTCTCTAAGATTGGCTCCTGCATTTTTATATGTTACACATAATAGGCTACATATCTTGGAGTGGCTGAGCTCAGTTATTTTATAGTGGTTGTTTGGCCTGATGCTCTCATGCTGCTGATTTACATTGTAAAGAAGAAGTGTCATTATTGTTTAAGTGTTGTTCAGCTGAACTGGTTTCATGGCAACCATCGTTGTTTCCTTTGATTTCCAAGGATCAAGTACTCCTACACAGGCTCTGATGGGAAACTCAACAATGGCCATTCTTGGCAATCAGATGCATTCAGCTGAGCATCAAAGCAATACTTCATAATACCATTTAGAATACCTTAATAGCTGATCTCCTGGTTCGTCTTTATTGTATACTGATAGTCACTTGTTGCTAAGCACACTACAAATCATTTCCTATAAGTAGAGATGGCCTCCTTGTAATTTCAATATTTTTAAATTCCTAATTATCTGTTTCTTAGCTTGCTGCTGCATATGAAATAATATATTCAGCTGTGTAAAGACCAGGTTGTATGCATTTGCAGTATATAACAGTCAGTCAACATCAGTGGCTCCCATTTCTCATACAGTAGAGTCGATAAACTCCTGTCGGATTATCTGCTGGTTTTGAAAGGAAGTTTATTATTGTAGCTCTCTTCTGTGCTGAGCGTGGTTTATTGTCATAGTGACTGGGTCACAGCCAAGAAGGAACATATCATCTGTGTTATGTGACTACTCCGTTCCTCGAAATGTTAACTTTTCCTCTTTTTATTCGTCCATAACCCTCACTAGGAGTCCTGATTGTCCAAGGGGCTGTATCGGTTTTTAAGTGGAATAAGAAGGAGGATAAGAAGCAGGGAACTTGAATGCCCTTTTGAATAAGAATTCAATTTATTTGTGCTTACATCGATTGAGACATACGATATGATGACTTACCTTTTTATGTTATTTTCTTAGTGTGTTGTCTTTGACTCATATATACTGTAGGGCCAGTATAGGTAAAGAAAACTCAATTGTGAAGCCAGCGGTGAAGGGTTAATATTTAAGGAGAAAACCAGAGATTAAAGTTGTAAATGAACGCTAACAAAAAAAGACATTCTATCTGATTAATGAAGTAAATGTATGCAACATAACTTACCCTACCATAAAACACAAGTCCTACCAAATGTACCACATTCATCAATGTTAAACTAGGCTTGGCCTTTTCATGCACTCTGCAGTTTGTAGCCTCCGGGGGTTCAATGCTTTTTGACCTTGAAGGACTCAGGAGAACAGCTTAAGATAACACCTGCTTTAAGTTGAATACTTAGTGGGATGCTTGCTTCAATGATGTTTGCGTTAACATAATGTTTTACTTTCTTTATATTCATTATCAATCATCAGATTTTTCTCTGTCATGTTCGTTTCCGCCCCCTCCAAGAAAGAGGTGAAAGGGAAATGTGTAAACCGTTGTGTTGGCGCATGGTGGTCTTTAAAATCAGGAGTTTCGGGGGACTGTGCTGAAAGAATTGCACTTGAATATTAACAAACTGTCTGTGATGTTTGCATATCAAACTTACATTTTACTTCAAGTGGAGAAAGGAAAGAGAGATGGAGGTGGAAAAGCTAAGCAGAGTGTGTGAAAGGCAAGTGCACGGAGATTAGGGATTGAGGGGTTTCTGGGACGGGGAGATAAGGTACTGCAGAAGTACTTCCTCTGGAACAAGACTGCCTTATCTGCAATTCTGCATGCTAATGCTGCTAAGACAAAAAATAATTAGAAATGTGTGTTTTTGTTGACATCTCTTTCTGTTTCCCTGCTATGCTAACTCATTTCTGGCACTGGGGCTGAACTGAGATTTATTCTAGAAAGAACTCTCTGACATGTTTCTCTTCTCGTGATTAAACATATGCCTCTTCTATCTACCTTTCATCGATTCTGCTACCACTTTGCACCAGTCAGGAAGAAGCCACTTGGTAGATGTTGGACTGGGAATACAGTTGAAGTTGCTCTCTTGGCTTTTCCTTTGATCAATAGGCATTGGCCACTTACTGACCATTGTTCGAAGAAGCATTAGATTTGTCTCTATCTATCTATCTATCTATCTATCTATCTATCTATCTATCTATCTATCTATCTATCTATCTATCTATCTATCTATCTATCTATCTATCTATCTATCTATCTATCTATCTGTCTATCTGTCTATCTGTCTATCCGTCTATCCGTCTATCCGTCTATCCGTCTATCCGTCTATCCGTCTATCCGTCTATCCGTCTATCCGTCTATCCGTCTATCCGTCTATCCGTCTATCCGTCTATCTATCCGTCTGTCCATCCGTCTATCTATCCATCTGTCTATCCGTCTATCTGTCTATCCGTCTATCCGTCTATCCATCTATCTATCTATCTATATATCTATCTATCTATCTATCTATCTATCTATCTATCTATCTATCTATCTATCTATCTATCTATCTATCTATCTATCTATCTATCTATCTATCTATCTATCTATCCATCTATCTATCTATCTATCTATCTATCTATCTATCTATCTATCTATCTATCTATCTATCTATCTATCTATCTATCTATCTATCTATCTATCTATCTATCTATCTATCTATCTATCTATCTATCTATCTATTACATGAAAAGAACCATATTCACACTTCTTTTTTAATTGGACCTTAACAGTTTAGTGTAAGATGTTTTCCAATTAAAATGAGATATGTATTGCAGAACAATGGAAAAGGCCTGTTTGTTGGCAGTAGTGAGGTTTTATCAGGTTTTCCCAGCCAAAATGATTCCACATCTCTGTTTGAAATGGGGAAAGGCCAGCACCTCGTTCATTTACAAAGAGTACTAATGATATCTTTTGGCTAATTGGGGGAAATTCTTGAAATACGATTTTTTTCTTAGATTTCCCCGCTGATTTCCCCACCGTGTGAAATGGAATAAAAAGGCAAATAATACAACGCAGACTGGGAAAGACAATTGGACACGTTTGCATCTTTAATTAGATTTCCGGTGAAATGTTGTGGGATTTTTTGCTGAAGAAGAAAATATCAAAGCTCTCTCAAACTCCTGAGTCAGAGTGCTCTTCACATCACGGTCAGTTCAGCCCAAGAAATATAACAGAAAAGGTATTACCATGAATATCTTTATAGACAGTTTCTATGGCATGAGAAAGACATTTTCTGACTTGACTGAATCCATATCATCGCTGCTGGATTTTGAATTAAAAGTATACCATGGAGTTATGTTGAGAAAACCGTTCAGTAGCAGGCTTAATGCTTCTGCTGGAATGAACACGGCTCAATGAAATATGACAGGTGTTTGGCCTTTAAATCTGAAGTGAAAACATGTTCTGCGTGACTCAGGCTGAGAGAGCAATTGTCTGTGCCAGACAAACTGTAGGCTAGCACTGCAATGTCAGAGAGAGAGCACACGCAAATAAAAGCAGAGTTTTGTTAGAAGAGAGCACTCACAGTGAGGCTGGTTGACTTTAACAGAAAAAAAGCCCCCACATAGTGCTCCAAATATGAACACATCCACACAAATAAGGACAAATGGAAATGTGTTTGCCAAACACAGATCAAGAGTATCTGTGTTTGTGAGTTTGTTTGTATGTGTGTGTTATGAAGGGCTTGGGTCAATCTATTAAATAACAAAAATATTATTCCTCATGCACTCTGTAAACGTTCTGCACGCCAATGAATTATGCAGAGACTCAATGACTGGTTTAAAATCCTACTTAGCAAGTGTTGCTCTGCAGCGAGGTTTTCACTGACATTCAGGGGCCGATGTCATTACAGGACTCCGCTGTGATTGGCTGAGCAGTGAGCCGTTGCGTGATTTAGCAATGTCTCCTTGGAACGCTGCCACATTGGTAAAGTTATGGCCGAAATGCAGCAGCGTGTCGTTAGAAATGACAGACACATAACAACTGGGATTGCAGAACTCCATAAGTACAAAAGCTCAATGGACTTTTAAGGACCTTCACAGAAACATGTCAACCTGAGAAATCAAATAAACTGAGTGTTGAGATTTTCTGTGCTTTTTAGAGTGTCACTGTCCCCGTTTCAATGGTGAAGCACATGTATCTTTGCTTTGCTAAAGATAGTTTGACCTCGTGATTTAGTACTGCTTAACTTTATACTATAGAGACTATGAGAGACTTAACGTCCCTTAATCAAGCCCCAAAGTCCTTTGTCACTTGCCATTAAAAAAACTTGATTGTATGCCTGGTAATTGTCATAAGCTGAAACTGAGATACATCTGATGACATCAACAGGGTTATTTTGGCCTGAGTCCCCCACAGACAAGCATACAGATAATGTTTTCACAGACTGAGTTCTTCACAATGGGTAAACTGTCTTTTTATTGGTAAAATCTGTGGACCCCTTTCACATGTCCCGATGTATTGATTTCTTAAATGTCTTTTTGTCCCAGCCCCAGTGTTTCTGTTTGTGTGTATATAAGCAATGTTTTCAGATTTCGGCTTAGTGGCTGCTCTCCACATTTCACCTTCTTTCATGTGAGACCGCTCTGGTCACTCAGGTGGTGTGCTGCCTCAGACACACACACACACACTCTGTGCATATTTCTGGCCTTTTTACCAGCCGACACCTGGCAGGGGCGGCAGGAGGCTGTTAACAGCTTAAACCCCTGGCAGATCTGTTTAATTCAGAGAACTCCGGTCCTCAGACTGGACCTCTGCCCAGTGATATACGAGGTGGCGGAAACTCGTTTGCCTGCCATTAAGATATGCCAAGAGTGTTTGGCAGATAGTGAGAGCAGCTGGCTCCGCTGACAGGGCTATGTGGCTCGGACCTTCTGCAGTAGAGTGGCAGGGATCAATAGGGCGACTCCTCCACTGCAGTGGCAGGAGCTCTTGGATGGCTGTTACATCCCTCTTGACATCATGAATCATGCTAAACTGTATTTGCGTATGTGTGTGACAGGAAGAGAGAGAAATGGCAAGTGAAGGTGATGAACATTTTTGCTTTAACAGAGGAGCAGAAAGAGAAATACACACAACATCTTCATGTTTTTTTTTTTACATGGAAAATACTCACACACTCTCTCTCACAAAATCAGCACTTTTTTTTCCCTACTTTTTTTTTTTTTTAACCAAAACATGAAGCTCAATTCCTCAAACTGAAGATACATTTCCAGAGAGGTAATACATTCATTCCAAGCAATGGTGATGAAGATTACAATATCTTGATAGAATGGACAAACAGATGAAGTACTTCATGGCTAAAACCTGAGTTATTCCAAAGTATTTCCATATGAAACTGCACAACAATGCACATCGAAAATAAATTATGCATCATTATTCTCATATAGAGTATTATTTGCATGACTAAAGCTATGCTACTATATTCATGTGGTATATACACACATCGACACATGGATTATTTATGTATATGTTTGTCTCGGGGTCTGAGAGGTCCAGTCTAATCACAGAACCACATTATGGCAGAATGAGATTTTGCTGAAGCCCATACGCCTCCGAAAATGTCTTTTTGCGATAGAGGGGTGACTAAAATGACCTTTTTTTTATTATTTGATTTTTTGTTTCTCCTTTGCCTTCAAGATGCAAATGGAGTTGGTGACTAAGACTTGGACAGCCCAGTTTTCTCTGATCTTTCCTCATTTTTTTTCTTTTGTGTATTTTTTCGGCCCTTTTTGTTAGTCTTTGATCCTTACTCTGATAACGAGGAGGAGCTGAGGCACAGCATAATTGAGTTTGTCTTCAGCCTCCTCAATCCTGCCTGCCTTCACATCCTCCTCTTCTCCCAGTCCTCTCCAGGATGAAAGCAGGTATGAGTGTTTAAATTTGTCGGGTCGAGTGCTATAGTTGAGCAAATGTTCAGTCATTGGATCGCTTTTGGACGGGTTCCTGGGGGGCTCCGCTGCGCCCATTATCCAGGTTTCTTCGTCACAAAAATTCCTCATAGTCCAAGACTTTGGAGTGCTGGCGGGTCTTCCAGAGCCGGTAGAGGCGGAAGTCGAAGTACAGCTCGATCAGCTCTTTGCCTTGATTGGTAAACGAGACAGGAACATAATTATTCAACCATTAAGAGAGCATATCACTTTTTTGTTTTACAATTTTCCATATAATTTCACTAAGACCTCAAATTCCTTGTCATGGATTTTCTTGGTCAACTTATTTTAAAAGTAGTTAATTCTGCGGACCTTGAACACATTCTACTACAAGTGTGTTTTCTAATCCTGATAAATTGGTTATTCTATAATGGTTTGGGTTCAAAGTTTGCACTGAAAACCCATGAAAGAAAGGATCATTTGCATTCATGTAAATTGTTGTTGCTGAATCCAAATACTCCAATCGTTTTTTACAAGACCAAGAGTATTTTTAAATTGATATCTCGCATATTTATTTACTTTACCTCAACAACATTTTAATTATGACTAGTATTAAAATAGTCCTATCATGTCTTGAAATGATTTTGTCCTGCACACAAAATGGTGTCCCACAGATCTTGCTAAATGTAGCTTTAGAGCTGAAAAAAACACAACCATGACATTTTGACTATACTGTTAGGAGGATCATTTATTATTGTATCATATTTGTCTCTAACCTTAAGATATTGGGATAGTATTCATTGCAGATGGGTTACAACATTTAAGATGTTAATTCACAAGTTTCTGAAAATATCCTATAGGATTTTGAAAGGTCAAAAAATCCATGACATAAACTGGGATGTCCGGAACTGACCCTTTCCCTAATCTAAACTAAGGTCAGTGCGTGCCCAACTAACTACAACCATACAAACATGTATCATGCTTCAGTTGCTATGGACAGCTAGCCTTTGCAAATACATAGAATATCAACAATTTGCAACTGTCCAGATATATTAAAGAACATTTCTTAATATTGATAAGAAACAAAACTCTGGTGGCAATAAGGTTGGTGGTCGTCATTGGGAATAACTGAGTCTATGACTTGGATCTTTTGCATTTTCAAACGTCTTATCAAAGCAAAGTTCATGTTTTTGAAAAATGGAGAAGCTGTTTGAGTAAATTCCTCCTCTACATGTTAATGATAGACAGCGATTTGTCTTTCATACACGCTTCATGTGTGTATTCGTTTGAGAAATCACAATGCCCGTGCGGGTCTGTTTGATGTGTGTGTCGGGGTGTTTTGTTCATACCCACCCTGAGCAGACAGCTCCAGCGGCGACCCGAACTCTACAGAATAAGGCCTCATCAGATTCTTCAGTTTCTGAAACAGCTGTTGGGACGAGATAAGGAAGCAAACAGCAATTAATCCCACTGGGAAGCCTGCATCTTCATACACAACACACACTCAGACACAAACATAACAACACACTCAAGAACGGCTATGAATCCTGCTCATTACCGCCAAAGAGACGTGCACATTCTCGAGCAGGTAACAAGGAGGTATAAACCGCAAAAGCATATAACCGCTGTGCAGAATTCTGATTCTGCTTTTCCGTGAAACAGCAGAGCTTCTAAAAGGTTACAGAAGTACCTCATTATCCTATTCATGTTCAGGAAGAAATTAAACGAAAATATTCAAATCAAAGCTTGAACTTATCTGTAAATTAGAGGGATTTGTTGGCTGATAAGTGTTTTTTCCAATACCACAATATTAAATGCAGCATTTAAAAAATGAATGGAGAACACTGACTGCTTCCTGCTATTCAGATGTGAGAATTTGTAGATTTTTCTCAGTGTAGATGAAATATTCTGGAACTGTTGGAACAAGCATATAAAGACTTTGATGGCAATATAATATTTTTTCCTTATTCAGTCAAATAAATCAATTGCAGCCCTAATTACATAATGACAGTTTGATTGGAGCATTACAGTGATTTGGGGTTTCTCAGTAATCTATTCTGCAGTTTCTCACAGACACGTGCACATTAAAAATTGAAGCTGACTGATTTCTTGCTCCAATTTGTTCACGTGGAATACCCCTCTGTCAAATAAATCAAAGGGCCACATGCGCTTTTCTTTTTCACTTTGTGATGTCAAAATGGAGGTGGCGATGAAAAGAGCAGCTTTCATTCCTCCGTGTTTGCAGTCCTTTGAAAAAGTTAAAAGAAGATGGCTTCATGCCAGATGTGGCGGAGAGAATGTTTGGGGAGACGCAGGCGGTGTGCCGAGTCTGTAGTGCAGAGAGCTGGAGGCAAAAAACAAATATCTCATGCACTTCGAGGGTGGGACGCCGATATTTTTTACATTTGTTGCTGTTTTTTAGTGTCATGTTTGCTTTTCATGCAAGAAATGTTGTTGTGCTTGGACCCTATTAATGTTGGGTTGTTTCCTGTCTGTCCTCTGAGGCTATTGTTGCCAGGACTGAGGCAGAATTTGTGCTGACAAAACAACATGCTTAAACAACTCTGAATGAGAAAAGTAGGTCAGACTGCCTGGCTGACCTGTTCCCCTGCTGCTCTACTCCAGCCTATGTTTTCATCCTCAACGCTGTGTCTCAAAACTGACAAACCCTAAGTGCTGTGGTGTTAGAAACTGAAAAGCAGCCTTCTCCACATTTCACAGAGTTATAACTGTGGTTTTCTTTACTACAGAGCATAAGCATTTCACCCCTCCCCTAATATCAGCAAATTGGAGCTCCTTTTAATGTTCAGAACTGCGGCAAATGTTCATTTCTTAGATTAAATGACATTCATATCAATGAAAGAACCCCAAAACAAGACAATATTATATTGGAAATGATTATAATTACAAAATCAGCTCTTGCTGTAATGAACAGGCTAGACCCCTTTGGTATTTGCTGAGTCATTTGTATTAATCATGAATAAACTAATATGTTTTCAAACAGGGAGGGGGTAGTTTAATTTACTTCTCTATTAAAGTCAGCCCGGACTATTATGCCTTCAGGATGCATGTCTGTATTAACAGCATACGCTTAAATACATATCAATTGTTATAGCCAATCAAGAAGCACAACTGCAGATAGTGACATGCAGCATGTGAATATACAGCGAGTGAGTGTGTGTGAAATTGCAGTATGTTTTGAAATCTCCTCTCAAGCAGCTTGAGCACATCATGTGTGTTGAAGACAACCTCTTGGTTATTATTTAAGTCATGTACGGCGACGTGGTGTTTGCAAGCCATTGGTTTATGCTGTCTGTAGTTAATCATTTGGCATTGATCCTTCCTGTTTCAAAATGTATACAACAGGGACCCAATCTGACTCCATTTATGCTTTGGCAGACAGAGCGGCTGGGAGTGATGTTCTCTGTTGATGATGGGCTTTTCTATGGCTGGTTATATGATTAAGAAAGTAAAGAAAATACTAAATGTTAGAGAAAAACGGTATATGACCAAAAGATAATTGAGAAATATCACTACTCTTGAAGTTTAAAGACTTTCTTGGAGTTTGGATGCTGTTTAGCACATCAAATGTATACTACTAAAGGGACCACACTTTTCCCCATATAGTGTATAATGGAGAATATGTTTGATTAAAAACACTTGTGTCTCTAGTAAAATCACTTTGTAATTGTATGAGTGTACTCTAGGGAGGTATAAACAAATACTCATTAACTGTAGTTTAGATTACATTTAGCCTCCAGCGTGAGAAAATATCACTTTGAGATCTTGGGACCAAGCTTTGAGTAAAATATGAATCACACCAATATTGTTGTTTTGGAATTGAAGCTTTGTTGAGGCAGGTGCCTGTGTTTGTCTGCAGGGGGGGAGATGTCACTCTGCACACTGTACTGCAGACTTCCAGACTCTCCATCTACCCCAGAGAGACCCACTTTATATAACAAAGTATTTTGGCAGACATGACTGGAACAGACAGCTAGGTCAGACAAACCCCGCTAGCTATGTCGTTCCTCTGTGTGTCTGCCAGTTTGTTTGTCTGCTTTGATTTCGATTTTTTGGTTGTGTCTTACTGTTTGTTCCTGTCAGGTAGAGAGAGGTGCATCATTACTCAGCCTGTGTGCTTCATCCAGTAACATCACACAGAGTGAGGTAATAGTCCCACATGTTGAGGAAGAAAGAGCTAGAAACGGAGGCAGCCGGGATGAACGTGTGGTGTTTATCAGACTAACGCGACGCTATGAAAATAAATATGAAAGCACAGGGCAGCAAACAGAAAAACTAGCGGTGGAGAACAAAGCGAGGCACGAGCGAGCACAAGGAAGCGCTCACTTTAATGATAGGAGACAGGGAACAAAACGTCTATACACCTCGGGCAGCCTAATGTATTAAATCAGTTTGCGTGGCACATAAATCTGACGTTTTGAACACGTAAATCAACCTTGTTATGAATGAATTGCCAAATCTACTCTACTTGGGCCACGGTGTGTACGCCACCAGCACAGGAAGTAATGAATTGTTGGGAATCGGATTTCACCGCTGTTGAACATTGTCTGCCTGTATCCTCCAGAGAAACTGTGTTTACATTCTTTCATTCAATGTGGGATAAAGGTGTCTCACTAAATATGTGATTACTTTACTAAGTCATTTTGTTTACCACATTCCTGCAATGTGATAAAAGACAATTGGTAGTGCAACTGGCTTGCTGCATGTGCATTACTGAGAAGTAATGAAATGAGAAACCACAATGGCCTTCATTTAGCTTTCTTTGAACAAACACAAACAGCCTTAGCCGACCTTACTTGCGGTCTTTATGTAATATCTACATAGACCTGCCATGTTGTTATAGTTTCGATGCGCTATGCATTAGCTTCAGCAGATAACTGCTATGCCACTTGCAAAGCTACTGCAACTTAAACACTGGAGCAAAACCAGTCCATAGCTGACATGTGTGTTCATTTTTAAATGACATTAGTATCTTCTGTGAAATACTCTTTGTTTGAGAGTAGCGATTTATCATAATTGTAAGATTACAGTGTTATTTGGACAACATACATGTCCTAATATAAATATAGCATTGGGACTTTTTGTTTGTCAAAATCTGGTTGCATCTTTTCATAAATGTAATCACTCTTTTTGTACTATTACTGACTTTTATATATTTTCGTTTTAGGGAATTGATTTGACCACTAAAATCGTGAAGTAACATTTTTATCATGGCGACACCAAATGTCACCATCTTTTCTGTAAACTAAACGTCCTCTGGCCTGAGATGTAATTAGGGTAAAGTAGAGCTTTTGTGTTATAGGTTGTGAAAGTGTGTGTGATGGTGTGTCTTCTTGCGTCAGCGTCTGTTTACCTTCTCTCCGTTGGGGTTGCCCAGGACGTAGCATCCCATTATGTGGATGAGGTTGGGTTCTGGGTTGACTTTGCTCATGAAGCGACTAAGCCTCCTCCAGAATCTGAACAAAAACAAAGACGTCAGTTATCACTCTTACCAACCGTTCCCATGGAATTAAATGCGAAAAATGACCTTTAAAAAATGATTAGCTCGCGTCAAGCACATCTTTGGTGATTAACCACTTGATTTAGCAAAGAACAGGAAGTGAGGCTTGTGTTTTATATCTCTAAACCATCAACTATTCAAAGATGCCCCCCCCCCCGCCCCCCCATGGGAGACGCTCTGAAAGATTCTCAATTGTTCATGAATGACAAACAATTGAAGGTTGAATCATCCCAGTGGAACATCTTCGATTTAAGTCAAGTGGAAGAGCAGAAATATTATTTATATTCTGAAAATGGAGAAAAGAGCATTTACATAAGTCATTTGCATCAGGATCTTCAATCATTTGAAGGCCTAAAATGAGAGACTTCTTTAGTGAGCTGGTTTCTCTTCACAAAATACATTTTTATATGATGGAGCCCTTTTTGTGATATTTGATGGATTAGGACTCAATGAGAGGGCAGCTAAGCTATCTTAATGATAAATACCTCCCTACATTGTCTTACTCTGGCTTCTTGAGGTATGGCTCACTACAGCAGATAACTTGTTTTAATCTCTTATACTCTATGTAGGCAAGGCAAGTTTATTTATATAGCACCTTTCAACACAAGGCAATTCAAGGTGCTTTACAAAAATGAAAGACATTCAGACAAAGGCATTTCAAAACAGTAAAAGATAATAAAATAAACATTAAAAGAAAAAATGCATGAATAAAAAGTACATGAATAAAAAGTTACAGTGCATTAAGATATGAATAGTTCACACAGAAGTTCCACTTTACTGATGAACACAACGGCTCAGTTTCAATTCAAATTAAAAGCAGCGACAAAAAGATAAGTCTTCAGTATGTATGCATTCTCTCTCTCATGCCAATCACCTGCATGTCGTCTTCACCATATCTACTGTATAAACCACATTCTTGCCTTGTCTTTTGTCTGGCACCTCTACCTTCAGATAGCATACTTCTCCAGATATACCCAGCATCTCTCCTTTGCAAATGTCCAAACCATCTCAATCTGGCCTCTCACTTTGTCTCCAAACCGTCTAACCTGATCTGTCCCTCTAATATACTCGATCTTAATCCTGTCAGTCCTCGTCAATTCCAAACCAAAAGCATAGCATCTTCAACTCTGCCACCTCCAGATTAGGGCTGAACGATTCATCGATTTTAAATCGAAATCGCGATTTTTAAATGATGCAATTATCAAATTGCAAAGCCTGCTTTTTTAAAAAGTGTTTTTGTTCTTCTTGTGTGTCAGTCATCCACACCAATCAGAAGTGCTGTGCTCCACATGTACCAGTCATTGTTAACCAATCAGAAGTGGCCCATGATAGCAGGTGATAGACAGATTGATCCAATCACCTGCCAAGTATTTTTGAAATACTTTTCCAAATGGCTTCCAATGGAGCTCTCCTACTGTAGGTGGTTTGGTGAAACAAACCATCTGAGTCAGGTTAGTAATGCTCCATCACATGTTTTACATCTATTACAGGGTGAATCTTAAACTGAAGCTTGACTTTAAAGCAACCCAACGGAAGTTTCATGTAAGTTTGGTTCTTTCACTCGTAGCTCGGGCTGCCTGCCTGATCTCCTCCGTCAGCCTGTCCATCACCATTGTAAGCAAGTAAGGGCTCAGTGCTGATACTTGATGTAGTCCCACCTCCACCTTGAAATCATCTGTCACTTCTATACTGCACAGCTCACCATACCTTTGCACATATCGTGCTCCAGTCTTAAAAACTTCTCTGCTCCTCTTGACTTCTCTTTCAGAGCCTTCTCATATGCTTTCTCTAAGTCCACAAGGAGACCATAGAAATCATTCTGACCTCTACTGATCTTCCCCTTTAACATTCTTGAATCGATCATAGCTTAAGTAGTGCTCTTTCCTAGCTTGCAACCATACTGATGTTCATTGGTCATCACCTCGCCTCTAAACATAACTTCTACAACTCCTTGACACAACGCGATCCACTTCAAACCTCTGTAATTACATCTGTTCTAGTAAATGGCTTTGTTTAGTTTTTGAATGTCTTGTAAGGTATCATCACATGTCAGTGCTTGGGCATTGGAAGGAACGGTGTTAGCCAAAGGCAAAGTAAAGGACAGAATGGAGTTGAACACAAATCACCTCAGAGTAGAAAGCTAAAGTGACAAAGCAAAAATGTCACCTTGCTGCCTCCCACTTTAAAATGCTAGCCCACAAATGTAAAATAGCTCTCAGCAAAGCGTATCAGAGATGGAGAGAAAATGTTATATAAACCCAGTGGTAACTTACTGGCTCATGTCCTCTTCCTTTTCAACCTTCGCAAAAGTTGCCACTTTATTCTTCAGCAAATACAGGTGACCAGGTCCTCCCTAACACACACACACACAAGAATGAAACAAATACATACATCACAACTGGTAGTTTTCTTGATTTATATATAAAAATGGTACCTATTACTTGTCAGTGCACTGCATGAATGTCTTGAATGAACATAACCCCATTTATCACAAATGAATGTACAATTTTACAGGAAATACAGTATTACTTTTATTTAGTGTCTACATGTTCCTTACCTGACAAAAGATGAGCATCCTCCAGAACTTGCTTCCTCTCCTGTAAGCTGTGAGCTTCTTCTCTATTTCCTCTGGGAGAGAGAAAAACCGGTTGTATTGATGTGAACAACAGTGACAGATAGCATAATGAATACAAAAAGAGACAAGTAACAATGTACGGTGAGAGAGGGAGAAATGTTAAGTATACACAAAGGAAACCTCTAGAAGGGTGGGTTCAAGTACAGTAAGACATCACAGCCACTAATGGAATATATGAATTCAACAGTGTTTCAACAGCAAAAAACAGGTCAATAAAAGACAGAAAAATGGAAACCTGATACATTATACATGTGAATTATTCATTAGCATCCTCAAGGCAACAGAGGGTCCTTCTCTGAATGAAGGAATCCATTTTAAAAAACATATTTCGGTAGTGTTGCAGCATGTAAACTGATTCTAAATGAACAGAGCAATTGAGCCACATCCAAGCAAGTTTAAAAGAGATTTATCGCAGGCGAAGCTTAGCCTGTAGCTGTTTAATTGACCTTTAACCCCTACAGAGTGAGTCAGAGTTCAGACTCCGCTCCTCAGGCAAACTGCTGCACGTTCAAGACTAGAGGTGATTGATTTTATAGACTGTTGGTCTTATAAATCTGCTGTGGCTCTATATTTTATAATAAGTGTGTCTTTGTACTTCAACGCATTCTCATGTGTATGAGACAACTATCATTAGTTGGACCCAAAATCATGCGATTGAGAGTTTCATATTTCTTTTTTTCTGTTCTTAGTCATTTTATTATTAGATTATGTGATTTAAGTACATTATGTTATTCATTGTACTCACTGTTGGAATTACATGTTTATTGAATATTTTATTATAAAGGCAGACGCTAAGAGAAAACAAAAATGTGTACTCACCCAAAATGTCATCAAAGGTTGCATGTTCATGGTCCTAAGGAAAAAGAAATGAACACATATAGTTGTTTGTAAAAAGTGTATGCTTGGTATGTCCATATATCTTTAAGCACATGTCCGAGTGTGTTTGACTCACATAGAGGATGGGGATGATGGACGGGTCGTCCCTGCGGATTATAGTGGGAACGTACTCCGCCTTCGGGACTTTAGAAGAGATCAGCTGAAGGTGAAGGAGACGAAGGATGGATTAAGTAGGGTGTGAGAGAAGGAAAGATGGAGAAAATCGAGCATGGGTTCAGAGAAATGAGAGGAAAGGGGAAAGGAGCAAACTTCATCACTCTCATGCCTGCAGGGAATGTACAGCTCTATATATTATTCAGAGTGAGATGGTAGAGAATACATTAAGGGCGTTTAAAATAAATGTACCTTCCTAGGATTAAGCTTATTTTAACATATTTACCTATCAGTATGTAAGTAACCATTTCCTAAAACAGTTCCTAAAACAATTTTTACACAACATTCATAACAACTTAATAAATGATATTGATATCTGTGGCATTCAACCCTCATGGTTTTATTTCACAGTCAACACCATTTCATTTCAACTTTTTCTATCTGTTCTAAATAGATGGCTGCTTGTTTTTTGTTCGATTTTTGTTCTACAGAATGTAAAGCACGTTTTGTGTAGAATTGTGGGGAATGTAGGAATTGATTTATTGCTGCCTTCAAATGGAACCTGTGAGCTCATGGTCGCAAGGTGGGAAGTTGATTGGCTTGGTGTTCAAAGTGGTTACATTGTGAGCAGAGCACTGCCAGGCTAGGGTAACATGGATAGATTGTTAACATGACTGTTAACAATACTGTTGGCATCAAGTCGAGCTCACAAGTGGGTAATGTAAGGCAGGAAATATAAAGGCTTAGTGACAACTTGGGAATATTAAAGGTCCCCTATTATACTGTTTTTCATCAATATATAACAGGTCTCAGATATATACAAACATGTCTCTGAAGTGTTTTGCTCCAAATACCAAACAGATCATTGTAGCATCCCATAATCCCCTCTGTTTCAGCCCTGTTTCCAAAGTGCTGATTCTCTGTCTGTTACTTTAGATGAAAATAAGGAGCCACTCCCCACGCCCCTGAGAGAGATTTGGTTAAAAAGAACACAATGGTGCTTTAGGAGGAGATTCAGGTGATAAGGTGGGCGGGGTTACCTTGGTTGCTGATTGGCTAATGGTTACACAAGCCAAAAAATCGTTATGACATCATAAAGTGGCCAAAATCTGATCAGCTCATTTTCAGACATGTTTTTATATAAATGGATCGGGACAAAAAGTGAGTAAAATCTTTGTTTCTGAAACTTTCATAGTCTCTTTACAAAGAGGGGACACATGTTTATGTATACAAGACATGAAAAAGTGGATTTTGCATAGGGGACCTTTAACACTTTCCTCAAGAATCAGTTGTTGACTGAAATTTGAATTCATCCACAGAAATGTTACTTCAATTTCTGAAAAGAGCAGCATACTTCTCTCTTTGGGCTTTCATTAAATGTGCAGGTGCAAGGTTGTACATACAAGAGGGGGGATGTGGACCCTCCTTGCTCTTTTACTTTGATTTTGAACATTTTTAAAGTTATTTCCCTTGTAAGTCTGCCAACTTTAAGTGTGATTCGAAATTGTTGTTAAATACTGATCTCTCACCATGATTTTGGGAGGTACAAAGTCGTCTCCTTCGCAGGCCAGCCGCTCCATCTCCCTCTCCTCCTCCCAGTCTAAATTATCGTCTTGGCCTCCTTCATCTAAAGTACCACAGGATGCCTGCAGGTCTCCGCCTGGAAGAGAATAATACCACACCTGTGAGCAAGAACACTAAAGATAATAGGTTTTAGGTAGGAGTGTTCTTGAGAGGCAAGAAAGGTGACAGAGAAATAGAAGAATCTGGGAGTGAAAGGACGTGTCCAGGAAGTGGAGAGGAGTGATTGCGGAGGAGAGGAAACAGGATGGAGTTGGTAATAATGGTGGGGACATAAAAGAATGACAGATGAAGGAGACCGCTGGCAGGAGGAGAAAGAGGAGGATAGTGAGTGAGCAGGACTTCAGCTAACAAGAAAAGAAACAACTAAGTTCAGAGGGCAGCACTTCTAGGAAGGAAAGGAGTTGTATCAAAATGTGCTTCTTTGAAATGTAATCGTAATGTGTACTATATTTTAATTTTTAATGTTGTAAAAACACCAACTGAGTAGTACTTTAATGAGTTAACGTCACTCACAATTGTCAAATATAATCACTTCACTTTCAGAAATAAGAAACATGAATGGACTCATTAGATTTAGGTTGGAATAATGCATAATAATCCAGCATTATTCCACATCTGTTCAAAAACCATTTAGAATCTTAAACAAATCTTAAAAACTAGTAATTTCAAACAATATGCTGAAGATTTTCTAATCCAAAAATATGTTTACTTTAAATGTATATTTAGTATACCCTTAGCCTGTTTGTTTTATAATTTGTAGACAGCTACTTTTGTGTAGCCTGTAAACCTTTAGGTTGTATTTGTACTGTAATCAGGGCATCCTTGTATATCAATGAGTGGCAGAGATACTCATTAGCATATTAGCTTGTCATTCAATTAACCTCTGGTGGGCCTCAGTATAACCTTGTAAAATCGTGTAAGACAGCTGTTGAATTATTTCCTCGAAGGAGATTTATTAATGTGAGGACAAACTGGTCGTTTGCTTGTGCCACAAACCTGAAACCAATAGAACAGCTGTATAAGAGGGCTATCAAGGTGTTTGACAGAAAGCCTTATTCATACCACCACTTCCTTGATAAACACAATTTCTTGAGTTTTGACGATTGTAAGTCTTTTAAAAGTATGTGCTGTTTTTATAAATGTTTACATGGACTGGCCCCCCACCCCCCCCTTAGGGGAATTAATCCACAAAAAACACACTGGACGCTGCACTAAGAAACCAGAGGAGACTGTGAGGTCCACCGTAGACCGACCACTTTTGGACAAAATGTCCTCTCCATTAAAGGCAGCTCATTGTGGAATAGCCTCCCAACTGAGACACAGGATTGTCCCACTCTCAACAGTTTTAAAGGTCAACTAAAAGAATGGTTGAGAAACAGACAGACGTGCAATCACCGCTAAATGCACTTTAAAACTGGGGTTTCTCCTCTTGCACTTTATGTAGCTCTTTTATCTTCTCTTGCTCTTTATATGTCGTTGCTGCTATATTCTACCATGTCATAAATACTTGTGTGTGCTGCTCTTGCTCTTTTGCCTTTTTGCATATCATGTATTTAGCTTTTGCTATGTTTGTAAAATGTAATCTTCTTAAATGTTTTATGTGAGGGACTGCGGATGGAAAGGAGCTCAAAGCTAAATCTGGCACAGTTACGCTTAACACATTTTAATGTTTTAAGTGTTCATTACTGTGCAGTTGTATTAATAACGATGCTCATTGACTGATTTTGACTGAACCGAGCACAGTGATCGTTCACGATGTTTGTTACACCTGTGCTTCTCCTGCTATGAAATTATTCTGATTGGTAACTAGAGACGCTATCTATGCTTTTGCCAAAACGTCATTGAAAAACTCAGTTATTTGACCACGCGAAGAACACAGGTTGTGTCTACTGCTGCCTTGATGAGTTAGTTTGTTTATGTTATTGTGTGAATTTAGTGAATCCGAACTAACAGACAACTATACAAACAAATGAAATGATTGGAGCAGTAGAACAGCTGTTTTTGTTCAACAAGGTTTAGCTTTTGCCTTGGCACAATCATGGCTGGATACAACAGCTTCCCCTCGTTGTTGCAAATGGCTGTCTGAAAGCAAGGTGAAGCGTAGAAAATAGTCTAAATGTTGCCTATGCGCTTAAACAGATTCGGATAATTTTGCGGTGGGTCTATTTTAGGAAGCTAAAATATGTTTTTGCTTGTGCCCCATTTCACATCAGTACATTGCATAGCTGGACAAAGTATTTTAATTTACTTATAGACATATAGATGCTTTCTTGATGTTCATAACCACTAAATAGACAGTCCTACAGAGCAGGTGTTCGTTAAATCTGAGCTGTCAGTATTTCTTTGATCCGTGGATAGCTGATGTGATGCATGCAGTTTTGACTTAGTATTTATTTACAGTTTAACATTCTTAGGGTCAATGCATGCATAGTAAAAGTGTTGTTGCCGATAATTGCTATTTATATTCAAGTGCCATGTTCCATTGCTGTAGTTTAATTACAATGTGAGCACTACGTTTATGATTGTCATATATTTGTGTTATATATATTTGCTGCTCACAGTGTTGTCCTTGAGGTTTTTTATTAATAATATACATTTGTTTGTATTTAGCATTATAGAAAACAACCTCAAAATAGTAATTGGCCATTATGTTATATGAGGATATTTTGAAAACAAAAATGTACTTTTATGCTCGTATCAGCCTTAAAGAATAAGTTTCAGCCCAACTGTAGTCAAAGTATTTTGACAATAGGTTTTGTGAAGCAGCTAATAAAGAACATTGCAGAGGTACCAAGAGGGACATATCCTTCTCAAGAAAGTAAAGAATGAAAAAAGAGAAAATAACAAGCGAAATCGATGATTAATGTCACTCCTCCAGAGAACAATACCTTTCCCTCAGGAAACAGGGAAGAATGAGGCATCAGCTACACCATCAGACTGTCATCAACAGTTCATTTATCTTTCTCACACTCTAAAACACAGAAACACTGAAGATGGAAGGTGGAGAAAAACATAAAACCACAGACACCAACATAGACAAACATCACCTTCAATCAGTGTGGGTTGAAACTCGCATTTATAAGCCCTTTAGATACACTTAGACACACTTTGACACACGTTCCTTGCCTTGACATTTGTACCAGCGGACACACTCGGACTGAGACGCACACTCCAGTTCGAAAGACATACTCACAGATATAGAGAGAGCATCACAAAGTTGAAGAAAGACCCACGGTCAAAGGGAGACAGATGGACAGGGTCAGAGTCAACAGCAGGGACAGTTGGTGTGTACGTGTGATGGAGGGTTTTCTGTGTAAGTGTCTTTGGATTTGTTATGTGTGTGTTAACTGTTCTGTCAAAACACGGAGCTGAGCTGTAAAACCGTGATGACAAAATGTCACCTTACAGTTTACTGTCAAATCCCAAGTCCTGTTTGTACACACTTGATGAAAAGTAGCTTTAACCTTCAAGTACCTAAATCACCATTGAAAACACTGACAACCAGAATGACTCCCGGAGAGTACAGACCTCTTCAAAGGCAGTTGCCTTAAGTGAAAAATGTCATGTTTCCACTGTGTGATTCAGAACTACATAATAACTGGGTTCCTCTTAGGCCATTGTACTTCCTTCAACCAAGTTTAATGAAAATTGGGACAGTTGTTTTTCCACAATCCTGCTGACAAAGAAATCAAATCAAATTTTATTTGTAGAGCACATTTAAAAACGATTTTGGTCGAGCCAAAGTGCTGTACATGTAATTTAAACACATAAAAAACACATTATATCACAATAAAAGACAATAAATCACAACAGATAAAGCAACACATGGAACAGTCAGGAGTCGTGACCCCACTCTAACTAGAAGGCCAGAGAGAAGTAGTGTGTCTTCAGTGTGGATTTAAAAGCCCCTAGGGTCTGGGCCGACCTCACATGGAGGGGAAGAGTTTTCCAGAGCCTGGGGCCAGCTGCTGCGAAGGCTCGGTGCCCTCGGGTTTTAAGCCTGGTCTTAGGTACTACCAGCAGCAGCTGGTCAGCAGATCTTAAGGCTCTGCCTGGGGTGTAGCGCTGGAGGAGTTCAGCTATATAGGCCGGAGCCAACCCATTTAGTGCTTTAAAAACAACTAAAAGGATTTTTAAATCAATTCTGAACCGGACTGGAAGCCAGTGTAGTGAGGCCAGAATTGGGGTGATGTGGTCACGCTTTTTGTGGCCAGTCAGGAGACGTGCAGCTGCGTTTTGGACTAGCTGCAGGCGTTTAATTGATGCCTGGTCCATACCCACATACAATAGTTACAATAGTCCAGTCTTGAGGTCACAAAGGCGTTAATAACGCTTTCCAGGTCTTTAAAAGATAAATACGACTTGGTTTTGGCCAATAGTTTTATTTAAAAAAAGCAGGATTTTACTACGGTGCTGACCTGCTTGTCGAATTTAAAAGTGCTATTGAAGGTCACTCCAAGGTTCATGACAGAGGGGAGGATGTTTTTACTTAGGGAGCCCAGAATATCAACCGGAGAGGCTGGAGGTTGGGGTCCAAAAAAGATGACCTCGGTCTTACTCTCATTGAGGTTGAGGACGTTTTTGCTCAGCCAGGAAACCAACAAACCAAACCAAAAACATAACCTTCTTGACCCGGGTAGATTCACATCGGCAATTTTAGTAGGGCAATTATTTCACTGTTGAGTGTTTTGGGATTTTAAGATTTTACATTTGCTGAGGGAGGAAGTAAAAAAAGAAATAACTTTTGTGGTATCCTGAACATAAGAAAATAAGTACAATTTGTTTTGCCTATTGATGCATCCAAAATTAGGATTTTTCCCAATCTGGAAATATTTAAAAAAGGTTCATGTAGAATATACATTTGTACTTACTTGTACTTGGGAAGTTACTAAATACATTTGCTCAAGTACTGCACTAAAGTACCATTTTGAGATACTTGTACTTGACTCGAGTATTTCCATTGTATGCTACTTTGTACTTCTACTCCAATACACTTCAGAAGTAAATCGTGTACTTTTACTCCACTACTTTTATTTTGTACCTTTTAGTTACTTTGCAGATTTGGATGAATGATGATAAATATAAACCACACTTAAATCAGACTTTAGTTAAACCTGGAGTAAATTCACAAGCTACCTGCAGTATACAGAGTCATTAAAACTAGCCGCACCTTTACCAGCTTTGAGAACATTTGAATGCATCAATAATTATAATCAAAACATATAATATACATTATTCTGAAATGGACCAATCTGCATAATGAGTTCTTTTATTTTTGGTAATTTAAGTTAATTTTGATGTTAATACTTTTATACTTTTACTTGAGTAATCTTTTGAATGCAGGACTTTTAGTTGTAACAGAGTATCCCTACACTCTGGTACTTCTACTTTTACTCAACTACACAATCTGAGTATTTCTCCCACCTCTGTTACTAAGTATTATACTGTACTTTGGATTACTTTTGACAGCTTGACCATTATTTGAGACTAGAGTTGATCTGGCCTCATTCCATCGGTCGGTTCATATATCAAAGTGCTGATTACCACATCATTTTCAGAGCTGACACATGCTATTAAGTGGCTTTCAACAATGTATGAGCCACCTGTGTATGGAATAAATTAAGGACAAAAGTACTGAGCAAGCACAAAGCAAATTGAAGTTGTAATCGATATGTCAGTTGTGATGTGAGGGCATGAAGGGTCATGGGCTATTATTAATAATAACTGCACACCTTTTACATTGTTTAAAATGCAGCAGCTGCAGCAGTTTTGGTGGATTATTAACACTTTAAAGGACATGTCTGTATCTTGCACTCATTGTAATAGTTAGAGAAGGAGTGTGACTGAAGTAGTCTGGAATATTAAAAAAGGCCAGGTCTTAACAGTGGAGGACAATTTGAAGGGAAATGAAAACTGGTAACTTAACTAGACGAGACGCAACAGACACTGGTTTACACACATGTAACACGTGATTTGGTTACTTCAGAGTTAAAGCCTGCTTCCAAGTGTTTAAATCGCACCATTTTTGCTCCACTGTGTGTGTCAGCGTCTGTGTGTAGATGGACGTGTGTTAGTACGTGTTAACTCACTGTCATGCTGAGAGTCATTCTTGACAGGGGTGGGGTCACTCCAGGAGCGGCTGAAACTCTTCGATCTACGCTCAGCGAATGCTAGTACAGGCGGGGAGAGATTGTCACACACACACACGCACTGAACAACCCGCAAAATGACCTTTTTTCCATACACACTCACCACCTAAAACACATACGTGAACACACGGAAGCAGCTCACATATATTGTGTACAAACGATGTCACCCCATCTCGGCACAAACAAACACCTGCATGTTTAAACAAACATACACATACAGTATGCTGACAAACTATAACACCATAAAAGATCCTGCTTCTTATCTTAAGGATGGATTTCAAGGTCTGCTTTTGTCTCCAAGATTTACTGAGCCTCGATAGAATCAGCTTTGCTTTGAAGAGTAATCACTGTGCTCTTGGAATATTTGTAGACTACTTTAAAGTGTTTGCCTCAAGGCGGCATTTAGCTGCTGACAACAATTTGTTCTATTCAAGTATAACAATCTTTTCATTAGCTAGAAACATTCATAAGGTCAACTTTAAGGCCTTTTTTAAAACGTTGATATTTCAGTGTTGCTTTTAGAAAAAGCTGTTTATCAAATCAAAACATGATTTCCTGTTTTGTGACACAATAACTCTTAGACTTTAGATTTTTATCAAAACTAGATGATTCTGTGATGATTTCACTTAATCAGCAATGCAGCATTGGGACCTTATTCTCTGAAATTGCGTTGAATAAGAAAATTGCTCCAGGAGAAGTAGTTCCTCCTCACAGCAGGGTTGCTTCTTGAGATTTAGGATTAAATAAACGTCTACTCTATAGGGCAACATGTAACACTGAGTTACAATCATAGGTGACACATTTGGGTTATAATTGGGTTCAGGCTTGTCTGCTAAAACATATTTTTTTCCGCATTACAAAATAATGGCCTTCACGCCTGACATCATCATAGGCCACTGTGACACATTTCCACTGTGACCTATAACGATGGACAAGGAACATCTTGTTAACATTCATAGTGCTTTGACATTTGGCACATGTTTGGCACATGCTGTATAATCTTAGCACGTGTACTCTCCCTAAGTTACTTGTAATAATGATGCATCTTAATTTGACACAAGTAAAAAAATAAGCAATGTTTGTATTTGCTGGAGCATAGATTTATAGTTGATTTTACTTTGTCCACTCCTTACCCATTTTATCTCCATTACATTTGTAAGATGCCTCCTAAAATGACGCTCAAACTGTTACTGAAGCCACAAACTGCTACTCAAGCCACATCTAATCCACATTTTTTCGACGTGTTTTCAATACGACACACACTCCTCCATTGTTACCAATCATCACTTCTGTATTTTCCTTTAAAAATATATATTTAGAATCTTTGTCTTTACAACAAACCGAACAAAGACCCGAAACATTCAAAGCGATGCAACAGGAAAGGACCACCAACACACTCGTATAGACAGGAGCAAGACTCATATGGCTGCTTAATCAATACACACACACACACACACACACACACACACACACACACACACACACACACACACACACACACACACACACACACACACACACACACACACACACACACACACACACACACACACACACACACTGATAAACATATACTCCTCAAGTGATTCAATATTACGTTTTATAATCCCAGTCAAAGCAGACGCGCTTTGGTGCCACACGCGTGCAATAAACACACCAGAACACAAACAGAAAAACAGATGATGGCGAGGTGGAAAACACAACAGTCAGTTTGAGCAAACATATCAGCCACACACACAAACACACACATCTCTGACTCACTCTGTGCTTTCATCCTCCTGCTGCCCACCATCCGAAGATGCTTCCGGAAGTTCCTGTGGGTAGGGAAATGAAAACATGCGAGGGATAACAGAGGAAAGAGGAAGGCCCAAAACGTAAAGAAGAGAAGGAGGAAAGAGGGCGGGAAACGACAAAGCCAGGGAAGACAAGTAGGAGAGTTTAGTGTCAAGCTTCTGTCTCTAGGTTAAAAAAGAGATAATTATAGGTAAATATACTCATTTTATTGTCACTGTGAGTGGAAAATACTTGTCACAGGAGCAGTGTGGGTGTAATGTACCACACTGCCAAAGCACCGCTAATTATCCTTTCAAAGTAAAGATTTAATGAGTCTCATTGACGTAACAGCCACAAGGGAAACACTTTTCTAGTGTTTTATAGGTTTCAATGCATCAGAGTGAGGTTATTTAGTCAATATTTAAAATTATAATAATAATAATATATTAACATAACATAACTAAACATTTTTATAAAAATGTGTTATTAAAGGATGGCAACTTCTACGTATAAGGCAGGATTTTACGCATTAAATACGTCCAGAAGATCCTTAAGACCCTATTACATGGTTTAAATATAATCATTGTTATAACAGATGAAATAGACATATTCTATGTTCTTTGCTGCTTCCAACAATCAAGCTTTCTATAACACATAGGTGTGAGCAAGCTCTCTGATTGGTCAATAGGCGTGTTTGATTCCACGATCAAAGAACGGTCAAATAGAACGTGCCTTTTCACAACAAGTCAGTATCCCTCCGCGTCTGAGAAAAACGATATACCCTTGGCCTGAAAAGCAAACTGCTTGCAGTACAGGCGTACTGCTTGCAGGCGTGCCGCAGTACTGTCGTACCAATAATGACGTTAAAGAACGGCCTCTCGTGTATGATTGCTTAATTAAACCCTGCCTGCAAGAGGCCAATGGTGATCCATCATCCTGAACAATACTCAATATCTTTGTAAACCATATTCTTTTTATTTGACATAACCGTTTGTTCAAATGTTTTATAAGCTTACGTATTTCTCAGGTCAGACAGAAGCAGAGCACTTATTACAAGTCCTGTGTCATAAACATTAACATTCACTTTAGGAAACCCTATTCTGTCAGAGACCGCTGACCGTGAATAACCTTAACTTACAATAACTGTTCTTCCACCCTCTGAAAAAAATCTTCAAAAACAGCTTGAGTGCACAAGATGAGTCAGACAATGGATTTGTCTATACATAACAGTATATCTGTGAAACATGTGCTAATGATTGCAGACTCTATTCCAGTCATTACAGGATCAAACACCATTTGTATTACATCTGTGGTGTGAAGTAACCTGAGTGCACGAAGCCTGTTTTCCTCATTATTCAAATGTAGTCATAAAAATGGTTAACTGCTGCATCTCATTGAGGCTAATGAGTAAAGTTAATTCACCAAATTTGTAAAACAGTGCATTATTAACATTTTGAACCTTATCTTTCCAAAGCGTGCTTGTTGTCTTGGTCCGTTCCTTTACTCCTGTTTCTTCACACACTTTAATGAGAGGATATGTCAGATTATCAAATAAATGCTGTGTTGTATCCGACTATATGCTACAAACCTGTGGAGGTACTTTCTCTTTTGTTTTCAATTTGCAAGGTTTAGCTACTTGCATTAGCTTCGTAAAAGTCAACCATAGTATTCATGTCTCCTAGCAACAATGAAACTCTCTGACTACACTGTATATTTGTAGTCTATACGTAATTAAATACAGAAGCTTTGCATTACCATGTTCCACTTGAAGTCCATTTTGTGTATTTAGTAAGAAAAAAGCAATATGGCTTTTATAGTCGTCCCTATGACTGCCTGTCTCAGACCGCCGCGATGTTCTATGCAAGAGTCCCAGATAAACATCCTTTTAGCTTCCTGCCTCCCTCCCATGTCACATCTACACACAGTTTCAGCACACCAAGCCAACAGTCTGCACTCAGGATGAATGATCTCAGCGTGTGGTTTTATGTATGTGTGTATCTGTGCGATAGTGGGTCCATGTTTATTATTCATAGTGGAGAAGCACATAAAAAAAATAAGCGACAATGTCAGCAAACCAACAGTAAACTCGCTACACCAAACGATGCATTTCCCTGCTCATTTAATGTGCAAACACAAATCAAGGCATCGTTAAAAACAGGAGAGATCACTGCTACTTGCACTTTGAGATCTTTAACACACTGATACACACACTCTCCTGTGCTTAAACCTCAGCTGCCCACAATGAGAGGTGTGGACACGGATAATGAGATTTAGACTGCAAGAGAGGAAATGTGAGAGAAACCGTGGCCTCCTCCATTTCCAACTAAAGACAATCTGACAGGTGCTGCCACCCTCGTCTTCAGCTCTTCCTTTGATGCTCTATAACTCTCCATAACTTCTTTCCCATCCACATTTTTGCCTGCATTTTCAGATTTTGCTTCAATTTGACTCTCTTCTGCCTACTCCTGTTCCACCTTCTCCATATCTTTATTTGAATAAGAATGATGATCACACCTGCATTATTTCTCACGTTATTTCCCCTCCTTTTCTACCTTACTGTACAAGCCATTCCTCTTTTCTTTCACTCCCAAAGACTTTCCTGTATGTGTCTTTCTCTTAATAAAAACAGAGCTTTCTCCCAGTTATCTGGTTTCTTTGATAGTATTTGCCTAAGGTTTGATCAAATTGTCAAAAATATACTAACTATTAAGTACTCCATATGCGGTATATTATTGGATTATGATCATTAATGCATGAATGTGAGCTAAGGCTCATTTTAACTTCTACATAATGCTGTGTAGCTTTCACCATAATGCATCCAAATGTATAAGTTCAGTACATTTTGTAATATGAGTACAGTATTCAACTCCTATAAGTATATGGATGGAACAATATTAATTTGGGATTCGAACCACACTAACTATAAATTGATATGTTGAAATTTGTTGGTATTCCAATATGTTATAGTACTATTTTAAGATTTGAACAGCATATTTGTATGATTACTGATATAATATCATAGATCACATTGACTGGCCAGGGGAATCGTGACTTTAAATTCTCCTTTCCTCCTATGTGATAGTGCATTAGAAGTATAGACTCGCTAAAGTGCCTGAAATGTGTACTCAGTAAAGTCAGACTTAAGAAAAGTCAGACTTAAGAACTGATTTAATTGTGTAGAGATGGTAATGCAAGATGAAAAAGTAAGTGAACCCCTCACATCAAAGACACCAGGTATAATCTACTCTCCCATTGTGAAAAAAAGCACTCTCAGAGTACACGGGCTGAATTAGAGCAATACTGAAATAGCTCTTTCCTTTGTGCATTGATGTTGTTATAACTATGGTTCAAATGGTCGTCTATGTGGGGATGAGGATCTTGACAGAGGCACTGCCTGCTGTATGAGAGTAATCATTTCTGCTCTGCTTTGCGGCTTTAGGGGACATCTTTACTAAACTAATGCAGGAAGATTTAAAAACACTTTTACATGTCAAAGGATTTTTTCATCCACACTGGTGTTTTAAAGCTTTTTCTAAACTTTGCCAACCACATTGAAATACGGAAATGCTTCCATTTTTACCCTTCGGCTGTACATCATATGAATATAATATAATATAATAAAAAGGAAGCTTACAGTCATATTAAGGGTTTTTTGTTAAAGGGAAATAGGGCTGAAGAAAAAAGTGCTTCACCGAGTCAGGAATACAACACTGAAATGTCAGAGTTCATAAGTTTCCCTTTATTCAGTTTAAGATGGCTTCCTGTTTGATCTGCTTTTAGTGGTCAAATACTCAGCTTAGTGAAAACAAAAGACAAAAAGGAAATACTTAAACATACTATTTTACAATTTTACTGCCGTGGTTGAATGTGACATTATTGGATAATACAAATTTAAGTAATGGTTTCTGTTGGATGGCGGACTATTTTTCCCGTGGTATTTTATGCAACTTTTCTGTTATGCTTTTACCCCCATTTTCAAATCACACATTTTGATGAAAAAACACCAATGTCAGTGAACTGACACTGCAGATGGATCACACTATGAGATGGAATTGAGATGCGCGGTCTCACATTCGCCATCTGTCTCCGTGTGACGGAGCATATGGGTGGGGCGGTTTCTGAACTTGTTGCTGATGACACTACTCCTGCAAGTGTTACAGAATCTCACTCCACATTTAAAAAAAAACTTTGAAGTGATTCTCATTCACCCATTTCTGTAAGGGTGGTAAATACATTTTACAGTAGAATGCTGCGGTCTCATTCAAACTTGTATTGTAGGTTTTGAATAGTATAAAAAAAAAGTATAATGAACGAATGACTCTAATGTCATACAAAAGTCTTACCACCAATACAATTAATCTAGGTGTGGCTGAGTAGCATTCACACTATGAGAAGGTTTGCAAGAGTTTTTTCAAATCATTCAAACAGAATGTACCACTTTTTTCGGAGACCACAAATTCAGGGGTGGCAGTACAATTCCAGCCTAGAAATGTGGGCACTCTAGCAGGGCACTCAGTGGATCCTTTTTAAAGCTGACGTCCTCACCTTCAAATGCCACGTAGTGAATCTTTGGCTTAGTCAGATTAGAGGCAGCTGTAAATAAGCGACAACGGAGCTACAGTATAGCCAGAAACAAGCCAACAGCAAAGCACACCCTGGCAGGGGCCGCTTCGTACCTCTGGATGACTTCTGCAGAATCCTGCTCCCTCTCTCTCCTTTTTCTCTGCACAAATCCCCGGAAAGCCCTGCCGGGACGTGGCACAGTATTAAAGGGATGAGAGAGCGAGAATGCTGGCGTAGCGAGGGGTAGGACAGAGCGGGGGGGGGGGGGGGGGAGGGCTGGTGCCAGGGGGGGGGGGGGGGGCTGGTGCCAGGGCTTTTAGCGGCAGGGTTTATTTGGCTGCAAACGGGAAGCTGTTGCTGGTAGGCAGCAGCTAGCTGAAGACCAGAGAGTCAAATCACATCACTGTTCAAATCTTATTTTCTATTCACCCCTGCAACAAATGTGCCAGTATACATGTGGTATAATGCATCTGAGACGCTGGTCTGGTGACCTCATGTGGCTTTTCAAAGGTGCCTTATGAGATATATGTTTTTTTTTCTGAATTGTACTACTTTTGCAGAATCAGTCATGGATACTTGTTGTGTATCCTCATGCAGTTTAGAGTAATCTTGAGAGTGTAATTCTGCCACTGAAGGCCTTTGGGCTTAAGTAACAGCTCAACTCGAAAATAGTGCACATTCTCCATTGCTGTGAAGTTAATACTTCATATTCACGACAGTTATGTTGTTGTGTAAGTCGTGTGTCCTTTCATATCAAAACTTTTTTAATAGAAAAAAGTGCAGAAAGTGACACCACCTTATGTGTCAAAGTACAAACATGGTGTGAAATGCATCACTGTTGATGTGTGATTATGTCTTAATAATCGCACTTATTGTTGTTCAGATGTAACCCAACGATCCTGTGAAGCTGATTAAAATGTTTCCATGGCAGAAAGAGAGCTAGAGATAGAGCATCTCTGACCATGCTACATTTAATTGACCGACTCTGTAGTGGAAAGTAGCTTGTAAAATCCACCAAAGAACAAAATGTTCTTTAAAAGGTCATGGCTGCCATTGTTCTTATTTTCTTAACAGGCAACAAATCCTATAAAAAGACCAAAACCTGCCAGTCTGTGGCTCTCAACTGCAAGCCCAGTCGTATAAATTGGCATATTTCTTGAATAAAATATAGGATTTTGTAGTTTTAAGCGAACCTTACTCAAACAGGGGTAAATAAATGGTGCCACTAGTACAAAAAGCAACACGATGGCTTGTTACAGCTTACTTCAAATGAGCTACACTATGTCTGTTCTTCGTAATAGCTCAGGAGGAGTGGTTATCCACCCTCCAGAAGGTCAGTGGTTCAATCCCTCGCTGCAAATCTTCACATTTTGAATAAATCCTCAAAATGTACTTTGAGCCAGCAGCAGGAGGTCAATATACAAAGAACTTGAAAGCATTTGAAAGCAGCTCGGTTAGTTAGGTTTAGTAAGGTGAGATGTGTTTGCAGCAGGGGTTGTGCAGTATGAAATGTGAAGAACTAGCCTTAGTTTATTCATAGCAAACTACACTATTCCTCTTGTCATTTATCTGATGGCTTAACCTTCTTCTCTGATCACCAATACTAACCTCTCATGCCTAACTTGTTCCTCTAACTACTTGTTCTTAGTGTGAAATAAAAAAAAACTAGATTTTTTTTTAGAGCAGATATGGGATTTTAGAATGGTTTCAAAACTACTTAACTTCTTATAAATCCATCCGGTGATTCAAAAATGTAATAAGGAAGCGATCGAATAATTGATCTATATTGCCCATTTATATAACCTACTGAATTTATGAATTCATATTTGTATCAATGTACACACTTTGCACGTTAGAGTAGGTATTTGCCTGATTAACAGTTAAGGAGCTGTTTAACGCTGTGTCTGAGTATTTTTACTTTGTCAGTTCATTAAGTCCATTAAAAAGTGTGACAGTGATCTAAATGAATGCATCATGGCAATCAACAATACTGTCAAAGTCAAACAAAGTCATCTGTCAGTTTTTGTCATTTTTAGTTTACTCCTCCATCCAGAAATAAAACGCAACAAATTATAACTCATATAGTTTTACCAGAAGGCAATTGGGATCACATGTTAGCACTATAAATACTTGTTCCTAACAAATCTGTCTATAGCCAATTACCACAGTCAGTTCCAAAAACGCCTAAAGTCCGCCAGCACAGATTTTGTGATAATTGGAGATGGCGGTGGAGAGGGATTAGAGCACTAACAGGAGTGCCACACAAATCTAATATGGCCAAACTCTTATCTATCGATGTGTGCTAAGTGAGGACGGGTGTGCGTGTTGAACCGACATAACTGCTGGGTAGATGTGAGCTGACAGGTCAGCCAACACACAGACGGACATTTTCCTGACTTGAGAATGGCAGAATAACTCGACCTCAGTGGATTACTCTGGATTTGAAAACTACATTTCCCCCTTCTGGCAAGAAAGAGTAATTAAAATGAAAATAAATTCGCTGACTTGGCTTCTACCTCACAATCCATAATTCTATATCAGGAGATGATTGATGCTTCTCGAAAATCTATTTTTTTAGTACCTCAAAAAAAGGTCCACCCACTCCCTGGTTCTATCCTGTAATGGTCACTTTGTTTTCAATCACCCAGCCCAGGGATGAAGGTTAAATGGTAGACATCGAAGTTAAGGAACAGCAGTTAAGTACAAGAAGTAAGCGAGCTACATGTAAGTGATAAAAGAAAGCATGCATGGGAAATATACTCACGATATCCTGTTTGGTTGTCCCATTGTTAATTAGCACGCAGGAAGAGAGGAGAGGGAGAAAAAAACAACATTTCAGACACCGGTGATTAATGAGGCCGAAAAACTGTGAGGCATAATGAGACAGTAAGTGTGTGTTAAAGTTGACCTTGCTGCTGGTCTAAGCTTATTTAAAAGACAAAATGAACGACCTATTTTATATTGAGTCTGCCTTTGTGTTCAAGTTGTTTTGTACAGACTAACACTCATTCTCACTCACACACATCAGCCTTTTATTTTTTCATTTGCTTTAAAAAACTCACTTTTTTAATATAATGTCTGCCTATGTTTTTGCATATGAACTAAAAAACTGTTTACGTTACATTACTGCCAATAAAGTACTTATTGAAGCCGTGCTAGCAACATGCCTTTGGGGATTTCGATGCCCTTCTTGGTTGGTTGGTGGTCCACCACTTGGGTTCAGACTAAACTATAATAATGTTGGTGATACTGTACTTTTTCAATTGGCGACACCATCAGCTCTTCCAATACTCCTATTCATTACTTAATACCTGGAAAAACGACTGTGTATAGCATATGTTAGCATGCTCAGAAACTAAACTAAGATGGTGAACATGCTAAACAGCCAGATGTTAGCAATGTCATTTTAACCATGTGAGATCCTGGTAAGAAGCTCCACAGCTATGTTTACATACAGTACACTAACATGGCTGCAGACTCGTAGTCTTATAACTTGCTCAAGATAAACGTATACTTAATTCTTTATTGACAAGTGTTGAAATATGAAATCTAAAACATCTGCAATCCAGCGGTTTGGAAGTGATAATGAATTGTGTAATCTCAGATGTCAAATCATCTTGATGAGCCTTTAAAACAAATCATGGATTAATTATTCAGCTAAAATTAACTAAACATTGGATTGTTTTTCCTAAGGGTCTGCAAGCTGTTTTTATAGCTTACTGAAATGAAAATCAATGGCAGCCTGGAAGGGAAGAAATCAATCTAAAAACCTATAGCATGCTTTGGATAATGGTGTGCGGTTTATGTAAAGTATGCAGTTTGGAGTTAATGGTCTGAAACATGCAAACACACCAGTCCGACCTTTAAAACAACATAAGTGTGATCGTGTGTGTATTTGTGTACATGTGAGATTGATGCGTGTGCTTGAAGGTTGGACACTCACGCCTGCATGGTTGTCGTGGCAGTTTGAAAGCTGAACATGTTTTCCTTTGGGAACCAGTTAGTGTCCTCTGCAATTAGAGAGACAAATGTTAAATCATGAGTTAAGTACAAAACATGAAATATCTATGTGCCATATTGGCTAACGTTGTAATCAATATATTTGATATATGGATGCACAAAACCAGCGACAGCACCAGCACTTCACAGTCCACCACTCCACAAATGGAGAGAGGGAGACACACAGAAGGAGACAGCAGAGGGGAGAGACGGGGAGACGAAGAGTCAGATCAACAGACCACCACGTCACATCCAACAACAAACCCTCAATCCCCACCAGAGCTGAGAAGAAATAGATTTGAATGCAAAAGGAAATTACTTTCAACTGTTTTCTCAAAGTTAAAATGAAAAAAACATCTAAGTGTTCTAGTAATTGCTTACTTATTGCTTACTCAAGTGTAGACTGATTTTCTGCTTATTTCAACAGAAGTGGTTCTGAAACTTTTAAAAGGCTAAAAATATCACTTGTAAAGAAATATAATTAACAAATACTAGACTAATGGGAAAGGAAGTTTATTGGATCCTTATTTTCTTTTTACTAAAGTTGCAATCAGGCAAATGAAAGAAATGCTATTTCCTCTCTGGTCCAATACCAAACCCCAGCAAACCCACCAATGGGGTCTAAAAACATACCCTTACCCCCTCCCGCCCTGGTTTGGAATTCAGCGCCTCTCCTCTCCTCTGTGTCCTCCGCCCTCTCACCTCTCTCCAGCCCAGTCATCCGGTCCACACTCCACATCCGCTCTAGGCGTCGGTGCTGCTTGCCTGCCTCTCGGGACGCGCTCTCCAGGTCCAGAGACCCCTGGCTCCGCGAGGGGGCCCCGCTGCAAGACTCGCATGCTAGCCCGCTGCACTCTGCCTCCCCCTTTCCCCCCTCCCCCCAGCCGCGGATGTTGTGGGCGCTGACAGAGGTCTGCAGCGGGGGTTGAGACAGGTGATGGTGGTGGCCGTGGTGGTGCGATCCATGATGGGAGTGGGATCCAGTGACCGCAGAAGACTGCTGCTGCTGGTTGCTACTGCTGCTTCCACTCGCCCCCCCACTGCTGGAGGTGGTGCCGGAGAGGCCGTGGTGGTGGTGGTTTCCGTGGTGAGGGTCGTGATGGTTTCTGTGATGGTGGTTGTTGCCACGGCTGCTGCTGGCATGGTGGTGCTGGGTTGGAGACGTTGTGGCGGAGGAAGGGGAACCCTGGATCAGGCCACTTCTGGAGGCCACCCCGCCACTCCCCGACTTCTCCTTCAGGACGTCCAGTTCTAGGCTCTCCTTGCTGCCCCGGCCGCTGCTCATCAGCATACCGCGCTGAGTGGTGATGGTGTAGACGCGGGCAGGCTGCAGGGTGCACTCAACACTCTTCTGTTGGTCCTCCTCCGCTGAGAAGCTGCGCTCAAGGGAGAGCTTTGATGCTTTGGTAGAGATGGTGATGGATGGTGGAGGTGGCTGGTGTAAGCCCAGCGTGGGTTTCACCTGGCCGGGATCCCGGTTGTCCTCACAGCCCTTGGTGGTGTTGGAGCAGGGATGGAGATGATTGTTGTTGTTCGGGCCAATCTTGTCACTCGGCGACTCCGGTTCGGGACCCACCAAGGTTTCACACAGTAGATGAGCTAGAATGGCGGAAAAAAAAAGACAAACATGAGTGTTAGAGAAGAATAATTACTCTAAATATCATCTTTCTTCGGTTATCAGCTTTTGCAGTGATGATTGCAGCTTGGCATTTCAGCAGAGGGTGAGGTAGGAGAGCACAAAGGAATAGGCAGAGCAGCATAGAGGGATGGACAAATGGCAGGATGGCTGAAACGCTGACCTGATCCGTTTCGGTTTTCAGGGTGTGTGTGGGACAGGTACTCTCCAAATGCTCGGGCTGCTCTGTGGGGACACACACACATGACACACATAAAGACATTAATTCATGGTTGGAAAGGAGGGGTGAGTTGAAAGAAGAGGAAATGGGAGGGTAGAGAGGAGAAAAGGGCAAGGGAATTGTAAATTATAAACCTAATTGCCTTCTTTGTAGGCTTTTGCCACCCACAGATTAGAGATGCAGCTGTTTTATCTCCACACTTCAGGCAGCCACAGACTGAAAGAGAGAACGTGAATGAGACAGCCGGATGAGATCAAGTGAAGAATTGTTCAACTTCCTTTCTCAGTATGACCTCAGTTTGCGTCAGTGGATGTAATTACAGCAGGCAGACCATAGGTGTTTTTTCTTGGTTCATAAATGGTATTTGTGTTTGTACCGCAAATACTGTATGTTCATGTCAACTTAAACGCTTAACCTTGACAACAATTGAAGAAGATTGCTTGGATACGTGCTGAAAACAGAAGCTGTGAGTTCAGTGACCACCGTACTGAATCTCATAATGTGCTCATTCTTGTGTATAGTGTCTCTTTTACTCACACACAGAAATAGACAGACAATAATACGCTACAGACGTCCATTCAGCCACACTGAGCAAAAATCCAATATCATTGAGGGCTTCAGCTTTTAATGAAATAGCCCCGGGTCTTGCAATTGAATGACACTGACCTCCTAATGTTCCTCTGTGTGACAGGAGAGGAAAATGAGCCGGGGCAAAAGAGAGACGAATTACTCCCAATATGTGCTTTCAATGTCAATCTGGAACTGAGAGGATATGAACCGCAGCAATAACTATTAGGAATAACGAGTCATGACTATTATTAGGAATTATTGGAGGGATGAAAGGGAATGAGAAAATGTGAGAACCTCTAATAGTGTATGATATAAATATCAGGTAACTCCTATAGCACTGTATGCAAACTGAACAGGTCACTAATAATCTATAACTTCAGGAAGACTGATCAGTTGTGAGTCAGCATATTATTTTCCTTTTAGCAAACTTGGTTATATGCAGCATTTATTAAGTTTATATCGATGTGATCCTGAAAAATAAACTGATGTGTCTACAGATACAGTCCAATTATCAAAGGGGAACATTGACGTCCTCCAGCACTTGCCTGTTTTCTTATTCAGCTAGTGTTGGAAGTGACTGTGCAGGAGAGGCTCCTGAATGAAGGGCAAACACTGGGTGAATGCCTCCCTTCTGGCAGCTCTGTCAATTATTCAAGCCTGTCCAACACAGCAGGCGCACACACAGTAAGAACATTGCTATGATGCAACATCTTTCCTCATACTCTAAGATCCTTGATTTATGGCAACCTGGTTGCAAAAGGATAACAGATTGTATAGAAGTCTATAAGAAAAGGACCTTACTTATCACTTTTTTCGTTGTAGTAGTAATATTTTAAGTAGTTTGTGGTCTTAAGTGCTCATATCAAGTTTTCTTTAATACATCACTATGTTCATTTAGTAAATTATAATCCTATAATTATTGTAAAATGCACATTAAAGCAGGGAATGCATTAGTTATACACTGTTGCCTATAAAGTTGGAATACAATATTTGTACATCTTTTCATGAAATGATTGTGACAATGTGATTTGTTCTTGATAGATAAAGTGTATATCTTCTCAAAACTTTATTGATCAATCTCTTCCAAACACATCACAGTGAACATTAAATAGGAGTAAAAAGTGGAATGTGTCTGAAAAAAAAATTATTCCAACTTTATGGGCGACAAATAAAGTATATTACAAATAAGCATGTTTTTGCTAGGCATAATTAGCATCACAGTTAAAGTGATTTACGCCTGCACCTTGCTAACCAAGCTGGCCAACTAGTGCTAGCATTAGCTGCTTATAATACATGACTCACTTGCTTGTCTCCTACTTCACCCTCTCGTCCAAACATGGCCACTTCTGGCTCTAAAAAGACCAGATCACGAAAGCCAAAAACCAAAGTCGAGGCTTCAAATCCATAGTCTCGAAAACCAATGTGTGATGTCGCCGTGACGACCTCAGATCGCAGTCTAAGATGTCATCTTAAAGTTACTGTGTGTGTGAGTCAGTCTCAGTATTCAAAGCAAGAAAGAACAGAAACAATGAAAGAGACAAAATATGTGTGTCTTTGTCTTGTGATCTGACAAGCAACCAGTCCCGTTAAGGGCCGTCGTGAAACATGTTTTCTACGTTCTAATCAGCAGGTGTTCCCCTGAAGAAGAGACATTCTTATTTTGCCCTCCTGTTTCATTATTCAACAGGCTGGCCACTGATTAGAATCCGAAAACAATGGTGCAAGAGACTCGCATCATCCATTATACATGAGAGGAAACTGAGTCAGAAAGGGATATAGAAAAATCACTCTGGATCAATCCATTAAATAAACCCTCTCTCCCTGCTGTCTTATATCACTGTTCGCACCCACTCCAAAAATGACATGCAATTACAGGGACACAGGTGCAGTAGGCGGCAGGGGACGGATACCTTGTGCACATGTGAAAAATGAAGGAGGACAAGAGGAAGAAAGCCTGGCAGGCAGATATGGAATTCGTCCCGCATGCTCTCAGACATGTAACAGGGGTTTGGGGAGAGACACACGAGTTAGGGAGGGGAGTTCCTGAGGAGAGACGGGATTACAGCAGAGAGGAAGAGGCGTGTGTGGTGAAAAATGGGGGCATATTAAAAATGAAAGGGGGAGTAAACTAGAGAAAACAGAGGCAGACAGAGAGCACAGTCAGGACAAGCGAGAAGCAAGACCATCTCCTCAGGACAGATGCGTCTTGGAAAATCCTTTGTCATTTGGCCTCCTAAGGGGTCTCTACGGGCCTGTTTGGTACATCTGCGGTCATTTGCTATGATACATGTGTCAAATGGGAGTGAGTGAGGCTGAATGGAGATATTCTGACAGTGATGGAGGAGACTGGTTGTACAGTTAACCTTAAAGGTAAAATAGATTTTTGCCCAACCATACATATCTTCACGTTTCCATGTATTTTAGTACATGATGAACATTATTTTGCAGAGATTTCTAAATCGTATAGCTGTAATGTTTTCAAAACCGTTCCATGGTGGTATGTTCATGAGCTTATTGGAAAATGGGAATTGGCAACCAACCAGTGTTTTGTGTTTTTTTTACGAGTCTGTCGGCCATCAGCTCATTTTCAGACAGGTTTTTATATAAATGGATCTGGAAGTGAGAAAAAAAAGTGAGAGGGTCTTTGTTCCTGAAACTTTCAGAATCCCTTTACAGAGGGGACACATGTTGATGTATAAAAGACATGGAAAAGTGGATTTTGCATAACAGGTGACCTTTAAAGTCTTGACCTCTTTCGTGTGTGAACTTTGATTTTCATAAGATAATTTCAACTGACTTCCCAGCAAGCTTATGTATCTTTAATGTACACACATGCCGTTTGATCATTTGCTGATCTGACAGATGCTCTCATCTTTCCTAGAAGGTATTCTCAAGCCACAATGCAAAGCAACAATGATGCCACTTTCTTGGACAGAGCTCCTCTCCAAGAGTTACTGAAAGTCTGCTTTAGAAACTCCTTGTGGGTGCAACCTGAAGCTCCTGCTGAGTCAGAGTGAATATGAGCATATTTCTCCTCTTGTCTGGGTCTACAGTTCAGCACATACTGGAGTGTACTTAGCATTTCAAGGGCTGAATTAGTCAGACACAATTACACACACTCTACTCCTCCTTAAACACTTTTCTGCCACAAACTCCACTAACCACTTTGCAGTTGCATAGAAAAGATAGAGAAAAGGTACACCTCAGCATCTCTCTTAATGGATCTAGACAGAACAATGCATCATTTACTTGACAGATGGGAACATTACACAACTGTAAACATACCCTTTAGCTTCAGCCAGGTGTGTGCTTGCTTACTAATGCATATGGTGAAACATTCTTCATTACTTATCCAGTGTTATTCTATTCTCTTTTTCTTTGCCATCTTTCTCCAACTGTCCTGTTTTTAAGCGTGTTTTACGCCTACAATGTTAGTAATCATCCCTCAGACCTATGCCCTGGGTAGCTTTGCTGCAAAAGGTGTAAAGGCATAAAAATGCCCACCCACATTTGGATACATGAAAAATAATTAAAAAAATCACGGGACTTTGTCTTCCAAGTGGAGACAAAATGTAAGTGCACATTTTAGATAAAGTAATATAAAATATACCATAGTTTCATTAAGATAATTTAGTTATAGAAAAATATCTTAACCCTTTTTATACCATTGGGTAAGAATGCAGTGCTTTTATGCATCTTTACATTTCCACTGTATTTGACTACCAAATGGCTGCTAAAGTCATCCTGAGGACGCTGTTTGTCCAAGATTAACGAACTGACATACAGGTGCTTATAGTGGCACGTTCTATAATGTTGTACAGGATTTATTCCAATATTGACTCCTATCTAATCATCTCATGCCTTTTTACGCTGTGACCATACAGTATATCTTTAGAGGACAAGCGGCTGGAGGCTGAAAACAGGCTATCACTCCCCGTGGCAGTATTCCCACTGGTGTGAATATCACCAGAGCGGATGTCTCCCCGGGCGTCTCTCCACTGTAAACAATGGGCTGCCAAGCAAAGAGATTCCTCACTCGTAATGCTCCGTAATCGAATCCCCCTCTCAGATGGGCTTAATTGAATTGGGTTTCCTTCAAAGAAACACACACACACACACACACACACACACACACACACACACACACACACACACACACACACACACACACACACACACACACAAGCAACAAGAATTGCACAGCGGGTGATGAGAACCTGTTGAGAGGCTTGTTGCGTGTGCTGAGGACCGGGGGGGGGGGCTTGGGAATGTTAATCGCAAGTCTTGAAAGTGTGGGGCATTATGGGACATGTTCAGGGAGCTGATTGAAATGTCAGTACACTAGTGGCTCACCACGTACTGTACAGCGCTGATTTATACACTCACTAACACCAAGCACTTTTATGTTTCCCTGCAGAAGTCTGAACATATTTAC